CCTGACCAAATCATCCGGCAATTGTGTCACTGAATATAGAACAGTTCGTCGATCCCTGTTTAGGTCAAAGACGATCAAAGCGCATTAGTTAATCATACTCTATGTTCTGACCCATGCGGAGGTGGTCACATTTTCGCTTTTACCTACTTTAACTAATATTTCCGTTATAACGTCCTTTATGTTGTACGCTCTTCAAAGCATCCATAGTACCTTGATACGACAAACGGGTAATTCATATTAGATTTTGATCGCAATGTGTGACTTCGACATTAGCTGTTGGTCACACCATCACCGTCTAACTCCAGTAGGTATCCTAATCATTCGACGCAGATCATCTGGGTTGGTGATCTACAGCTCTTTTATTCTCATTTGCAAGCAAAAAATGTAGAGACCTTGCAAACAAGCATCATTTCCTTTAGTGTTGCAAAATTCAAAGTCCCTGACGTTAAAGTATGTTAAGTCTTTCAGTACAAAGTTGGAAGACTGTATGCAAAAGAAGCAGTTTTAAAATCCGCCTGAAAACGTACCAAAATAAGGAGTTATGAAAATATCAAGCCCTAACTGATATAATTCAAGTAACAGTAGACCAAGTATCCTTTTGATGCAAGACACTGCACACTATCATGTAATAGCCACAAAAGGTTTCAGGACCCTGTGGTCAATACGTGGGGCTCTTAGCCGTGTCAATGCAAAAACTTATAAAACTCTGCATACGGTACGTGTTTGTCCTAAACTCCGGTACTGCATACAAGCAGCTAGCCTTTGCCTTAAAAGAAATATAAAACTATCAGAAAAGGTTCAAAAACCGCAACCAAGTTGTTTCTTGATATAGCAAAGCTCCCATATGGTGCTCAACTGGCTGAACTAAACCTATTTCCATTGTCAAATCGAAAAACCAGAGGAGACTTGAGCACAGTCTTCAAAGTACGCAGTGAGTAATTTGAATCTGATATCCCTTACTTTTCTGGTCTTCCAAAACAAGGGATTTATGTTGAAACTCAAAAAGCGTTCACAATTTCAGAACGAATTATTAAAATTTTTAAGACAGGTCACTTAGCCTCCTATCCTTTCTGAACGGAAACTGATTTGTGCTCATCTGTTTCTACCTGCCTTAAACTGCACAATTTCTGGGATTCTTAGTCAGCACATGAATTGGAATTCTAATTATCATATATGTGTAAAACTATGGTATCTTTAAAATGTATTTCAAAGTCGTGCAGACAAAAGTAGGGTGTTATTAGAACAAGTAATGATACTGACTGTCCAGCACATACTTCGGAATCTATCGAAAACACATCGATATCTAGGACGGAAACAATGCATGAAGACATTATTGTAACTGGAATAAAGTAAACAATTGTGCACAAAGGCAATCGTTGCATGTGGTTGTTGCAGTTAGACATAGCTTCAAAAACAAGCCAGTTAATTGTTTGTAGTTCATAAGTCTACGGATACAATAAAGCCTGAGAATCTATTCACATATGACAGAAAATTATATATATGTATATTTGACGTGAAATTAATTACGAACAATTATCAGTGTCAATTAGAACTTTCGGTGGAAGTGCGGATAATATCTGCTGTTGTAATTTTTATCATAAGCAATCACAACAAACAATAATGTCAAACAATCTGGATCTTTGTTTTGCACCGCATGAAAAAGCAGTATTATTTCAAGCCTTACGTAAACTCTTGGATTTTGATAATTTTAATAAATAAAACCGTACCGACTTTTTTCAATGCCGTTTGAAAAAAAGAGCAGTGATTTGTACTTGTTGTTGGCCAACTCCGCTTTTGTGTATTTTGTGCATCGAAAGCATTCTTGGTCTACTTTGACTTGATCTATTTCACTTAAGATATAGAATTTTTCAAACCCATTATGGTGTTACTTTTTTTAAAATGGTCAGCTCTGCTAACAAATGTGGATAGCCAAATTGCTTATTCGCTGTGGAGGAAGGAATGAAGTGTAATGAGTGCAATAAGTAGTTTCATAAGACGTGTACTTGTTTAGATCCCACCGCATGCAAAAGATGTTCAAAACCCAACTCCCACTGGCTTTGTATATTTTGTTGCTCGAGCAAAACATTACTTATCCAAGAGGCAGTCGGCCTTCTTGCGTTTGCCGGCAAAAATGTTGATGGTAGCTGGACTGGTAACATGATTACTGACAGCAAAGAATGTGTTAACGTAGTAAGTGCTGTTAAGGGACGTGTCAAACACATGACTGCGGAACATGCAAGAGGGGAGACTCCTTTCAAACAAATAAATGGTGAATGTGACAGGGTATTGGTGGTAGAGATTCTAAAGTAGCATCTGGAGACCAGGATAAAACCGTCACCGTCCCAAGTAGTCCCTATGTGTCTACCCCAAGTGACAGGAAACAGATAACAATGCGGGAGAAAAGGGGAAGAAAAAAACACAAACGGCGCCCGTGTGGTTAATACATCTTTGTCAGACTCTCATTTTGAATAACAGAATACACCACCAAAGTCCTAAAGTAAGACCGTACTTAAGCCTAGAATGATTATTAAAATCTCGACCCCATAGAATACATTTGTAAGCAGTTAGCACGGAACAAACGACATTTATCCAAAAACAATTTCAGAGAACCTCCCGGCGCTCAACAGAGAGGAAATGACAGCTTGATCTAAACCCTTGAACGCAAATTTCAAACAACCTAAATCCCTTTCTGCTTTAATTATTTGAACAATAGAGGATTTATAAGAAAATGAGCCTGCTTAAAGGTATGCACACAATCTCGAGATAGTAGAATCGGATATCTTAAACGTTTTGTCATAATTTTTAATGAGTACATACTGCTAAGGTAATAAGATTCGGAAAGTGGGTTGGAGGCGACACCCGATCAAGATGGATTTTGAATCTAGTGCACGAAGTTAAGGGTAAAAGGACGGTAAACTAAATAAAGCGTATAAAATTTGAAACTACAGCATTTATATCCAAGTACATTGGTTACTTCAGGATCTAGTCATGCGAAGAATGCTCTTGCTGCGTCAAAACACTAGAAAAGCTTACAAGAAGTAGACATTTGAGATGGTGGAGAAGATTTGTAGCTCAGGTGGGTGATTTTGATGTTGGTTTGTTCTCTGAGCTGGGTGGTTCGGTTGTGGAGCTTTCATCGTCCTTCTGAACGACATCATCAGCACAAACTTCGAGTAGACATTTTTCCAGGACTTATTCTTGTCAAAAGGTCACGAATCATTTACATGTAAATACTAAAATTTCAACGATATGCATAAAAAGACAATAGCCAGATGCCGCACCGACTTCTAAAAACGGTTGGCATACGATAGACGTGCCTATTTGAAAAAATTGTTTTTATACACCAAGCGAAGAACAAAATATGGTGATGGTATTCCTCCATAATTGTTGTTCGAAAATTCAGATATACTGGCTAAATCAGATCTGGCCAAAGTCAAGATTTTATCAAACTATTTCAGTGAAGTCTACTCTACGGGCGTTGTCAACAATAAGTGTCGTGACCGTACTGCAGAAATACCAGCTACAGGTACCGTACATGTAGCTGAGGAAATTGTTCTTGAATTGACCATTACACTCAGATCTAGTAAGATACCGGGCTCTGAAAAGTTAAATCCACGATTGCAGTTATTTCCCGCAGACACTTTCAGGGCTGCCGACAATGCACTTCAACATATTTCTTCCCCACACTCAACTCCTCAGAGATTTGGAAGATGCTACACTTACTAGCTAGGTAAAGAGAGACAGATTGTGGTTTATTACTGACCTATCAGTTGAACCTGCACAGTAGTTTATTAACTTGGATAAATAATTCAAGTTAACTTACCTAGTCAAATAGAATCATAAATTCTATTAATTCCTAAGCAACACGGGTTTCAAAATGTGTATTCATGCTTAACTAACTTGCGAGAGAGGATGGGACACTAGCTCAATATAACGGTTTATCTCTTGTTATGACATTCATAGATTTTGGTAAACATTTGATAAAGTTTCTCACTTGGGGCTTATGCATAAGCTCTCGAGTTTTGGAATAACAGGAGACGTACAAGAATAGACAGGAAACATTCTCTGCAAATAAGACACTGTCTGAGTGGAAGTCGGTCTAAAATGGCTAACCACAAGACACCATCTTTGGTCGTATGCTTTTTCTCCTATACGTCAATGAAATACGGCGTCTGTTTAAATCGTCAACACTTGTTTGGAGATGATGTAAAAATCTGAAGAGCAATAAGTATTAAGGCTGGTCATCTTAATGTTTAAAACTGACATTATCAAATCTGCCACTAGTGTTATGTCACAAGAGAATGAATTGCCTGTCCTAACCAGTGTTTTGTGCACGAATAAAGAGCCGGAGACTGTTTTCAAGAGTTGGATACTACACTTAGAAGTCAGATACATGATACAAAGTGAAATGAAGATAACGAAGTAAGATATTCATAACTTAGTAGTCTTGCACAAGACAGGCATGGTGCCATATCGGAACAAACACATCCATGGAGTGAGAAACTGTAATTAACTGTATTTCGGTGGTATATGACAATATATTAGTATGAAAAGGTTGTTAGTATATACCGGTAAATAAAGTAAAATCCACTTGAACAGGAAAGATTTGGCCTACCAACATATTCTGAAGTCACACTTCGCAGTTAATACATAACCTGGCTTACACCATAGTAATGACGAACACTTCCTTCCCATTCAAACAAGTTGGATATATGAGTGTCACTAGGAGTCAACTTGAAAATGTAACACGATCAAACAAGAGTTAATGGTACTAATATACTATTTTTTATATAACCATTTTTGGAAATCGTCAACAGGAAAAGTGTTAAAATGCTCTTGAAATCACCCAAAAACTCCTAGCTAAACCACTTTTACATAAATTCAGGTCAAGATCCATATGGACAATATTTCTTTTTTAATTTGATGTTTTCAGGCTTGCTCGTTATAATTTCTAGTAACCTTGAAAACTATGACATTCGTAGTACGTCCTCATTTGAAATATGTTAGACGATAAGTCTATTCATCGGATTAATGGGATTGAACTAACAAACGAGATTGTTTGGGAAGAGTGGGTTCCAGGAGAGAAGTACACAAAAATTTTGAGGCTGCATAATGTGGACAGAATATCTCATAACTTTACGTTTTTGTAAGTACTTACTAGTAATTTGATAACTTAATCATTCTCAAAGAATGCCACGTTCAGGAGTCTTCAGTAGTGTGCATAAAAACAAGTTTAGAATTTCGCCTGGAACAACTATTGAGTTGCCGATAACGTTCCGACCCACAAAGTTAATGGAGTTATGTGAGGAGATGACGTTTGACTTATCAGTAGTTTTTCGGATAAATATTTTTCTCAACTAATCATTATCTCTTAGGGTAAAACAACAAACGTAACATTAAAGGCAATTCTACCCACCTATCTCTTGAAGCTGCCGGAAAATATTAATTTTGGTCCTGTGGCAGTAAATACTATTAAAACACATATTTTCACTCTGAAGAATATGACGTAAGTAATGAAACCTTCTACAACTTTTAGAAAGTTAAAAACCGATTTTAAACTGAAGGTGACCTCTCCTTTGCAGATCTCCCTGGATGAAGGTACACTCAACTCCTTCGAAAAGAAGGCGATTGAGATTATTTTTGCCCCTATTGTAAGTCAGCATGCTGCATTAACTATGGAGTTAGACTCCAGGATACATTAAGACGAATGTCATATGCATTTTTGGTGACAAAAGGACATGGAAAATGAAACGCATGGATGTCACAGGAACGGGTATGCTAGGGTGTTTTGTTTATCATTATATATAGCGGAAAATGATCGACTTCATATTTTTCCTGTGAACGTGAAAACGAGTGAAAGTGAAAATTCTGGATCTGTTGTTTTTCTTTCATTTGACAATGTATCTACTGGTCGTTCATCACAAGAAACTATTGTGGTTGAAAACTATTCGAATGTAGGTTATTAAGACACATATTTGTCGATACAAGCTATCATTTAAACTATCATAAACTAATAGTCTGTATTAATCTCTTTTTGGTAGGGAAATAAGCGTTTAAGGTGCTGTTGAGTTGGTCAATCGAATGTGTTAACACTGCTTCCTTCATTAGTAGGTTTCAAGGTTTGATCACTCAATAGTACCCGCATGCCAAAATGTATTTTTCATTTCTTGGCCTTAAGACACGTTTTCTGTGTCTTCTGAGTTGTTTCAACTGAGCCCAAAGGATACGAAAGGATGTCTGAAATCTAAACCATTTTTTTATTATTTTGTGCATTATGATAAAATCACTTATTAACCTGCGTAAAGTTAGTTTAAAGAGATCGAATGTCATAAGATACACTGCATATAATAAACCTCTCAGCTCCTAAGCTTCACCAACCGTCGTATTCAGTACATTTTTGACGAGACTTGATTTGTTATAACACATAAACTCCCGGTTTTGAAACAAATGTCTCCAATCAGACCCCACTAGGGCTTCGTAAACTTTGGTTAATATTTTTGTACCTATTTTTGTACGTGTCGTGACGCCTTTCATTTGCAACTAAACAAAAATAAGGTTTGGTCGTGGGTTGATCTGCAGATCATCAACATAGATGATCTGAGTCGATGATTTGGGGCTTACTTGAGTTGGGCGGGAACGGGTTGACCTCCCGGCTTACATTGTAACCACATTTCGCCGTTAGTACCTAATGTGGATTATTCTTTTTTAATACCTAGGTGATATGGTTACTTTGATGACTATATCGCCAGAACATAACGTTTTGGTGAAAATATATCAGTAAGAATAAGTATAATAATAAGGTTCGGCTACTACTGCATGCGCTTGTTTATTGGTCAATGAGTGTTGATTGTCTTCAACCTAAACGACATTCCGCAAACTTTTCAATGCTCATTGATCTGACTGCTGCGTGACTTGAACAGGGCCCGGCTACATCTAAGTGGACCTACAAACCCTTGTGGATATGAAATACAAAGAACACCCAAATAAATTCAAAATTGTGTTGTAAGTTGACAAGACAGATTAATCCAAACAATTATGTGAGCTTTTCTGACCCTCACGTACTTTTTTATAATGTTATTAGCTGTATTGCATGTGTGGTTAGCTTCTTTGAGCAAGGTCGTTTCCTACGGGATGGTGTTGCCGACCTCATACCCGACTCTTCTCCTTTACTTGAGCTTGTGACCGGCAGTAGACCTAGAAGAGCTACAGGTGGAGTTTATATTGTTTGTATCTATGATTAATTGACCATAACCCTTTATGTATACCCATTTTGATGTATAATTACTTGTCTCTATTCGTTCATATTACTCGTGGCCTATGTGAACTAAATTTACAGAGGCTTGAACACATTTTAATGGACATGCTGTGGCGATGTACAAATTTTAACGCTCTCTACTTTGATGGTGACGTGCTGATTGAATCAGTAGACTAGAGGTAGAGGTGCATTCTAAGCCTTTATCTAGTTTTTATTGTCTGTCTATCTAAGTGAGGTCATGAAACACAATTCTTCAAAACACTTTTTACTCGTTCTATTTCATTCCATCAGCATTAACTTGACGTATAGATAATAAGGAACTTATAATGTGTTCCTGTGGTACCCTATTATGTCCTGATTTCTATGAGGGGCATTTGGGATTAAGTTATACCTTCAGTTTACGACCATTTGGAAAGTTGTTTATCAGCTTAAGCAGATGTGTGGAGATCTTTAGACTTCTCAGCTTCAATGAAAGTGTCGTCCTAAATCTTAAGTAAAGCTTTGTTATAGTTAACTTGGATTAAATCTACTTATTTTTCTTGATCATGTGACTCTTTATAACGCTATCAAATTAAAAGGTTTGTGGTGCACGTAAATGTTTCAGTCCAAGATACCAATGAGAGAAGTGAAAGACAGTAATGATAGCTTGAACTTTAAAGCTTCTGTTTAAAACCTTTTAAAAATTACTATTGAGCTATTTAAGCTGCTACTGACCTCACATAAGATTGAAGCATTTGCGTCAACTTATCATTGGGTAGTGACTGACGTCATGTTTATCTAGTCTTTAGTGTATGTCAAGTTCTCTCGGTGAAGATACAATGTGGCCACCAGCATGAGTGACTCCTGTGTACAATTGAATGTATCATCTCTCCTTGTTATAACTATACTTTTTCTAAATAAATTTTGTGATGCGTTAATATATATCACTCTAGTACATCGTTCAGAATATCTTGGTATCAATTTCATTCGAGGGTGAAGTACCAACTTACATGTTATATATATATATATATATATATATATATATATATATATAGTGCCATATTTTTATTATTTCATATTACAATTTTCTACAATTTGCACTTCGAATTCTAAACCACCATTTAGGTTGATAGTTCGATAAAAATCAAACCAGTTAGCCGGAACGCTGGTTTTGATGGAAGTACAGTTTTTCGTTCCCTGGTATCAGTAGCCACCATTCCTGGACAATCGAGATCACAAATCAGTGTGAGTTGTAAAAACGTTACTTTAGATGAATTAATTATAAGATGTATAATTTGTAAATACCTTGCAGATACCCTACATAAGTTGAATCACTAATCCAATGATATCAATTATGCGATATCTATTTTTGTATGATGAATAGTGAAACAAATGAAATATAATCTAAATAAGGGGGTTGTTTGTGGAGATGGGCTAAGTGCTCGTGCGCGAGACTTGTAGGTCCTGGGTTCAAATCTCGCGAGATGGAATCGTGGATGCGCACTGCCACTGAGGAGTCCCACAATTAGACGAAACAGCCGTCCAGTGCTTTCAGATTTTTCATGGTGGTCTTGCTTCAATTGACTCATGATTTCAACTATACATATGATAGAAATAGTTTGAAGTTCATGGCTAAGCTTTAGTCATGATCTAGATAAATGACTTACCCTGATATAGAGCAAGCTATAATATTAGATCCTATTTTATTTTAGGTTTCAGATAGGTCATACTAACGTACTTCAATTAGCACAGTACATGGAATGGTTCATTTGAACCATCTTCAAATAATTAATGTCAATTAAAGTACATCGATGTATAGATTAAGGCAAACTATTAGTTGCTTGATCAGAACATTGGTCCATACAATAAGCTAGACAGAATGATACTGTCTAATATTAGTCAATAAGTCATTAGGAAATTAAAATTACCTACAATTTTACTTTGCTGGTAAATAGGTTGTAATAAATACAATGACGTTTATATATTACTTACTTCCTTACTTGCGCCTGTTACTCCCAATGGAGCGTACGCCGCCAACCAGCATTCTCCAACCCATTCACTCTGTCCTGCGCCTTCCTTTCTAGTTATATCCAGGTTTTGTTCATTCTTCTCATGTTTATATATATATATATATATAAGTTAGTGATTGTTTCATTATATACAAGTTTCATTTATCTTTTTTTCCACATATGTCCACAATGAAGTTTACCTACACTCCAAGAATGCCGAAATCTTATGATATAGGCTATTACAAAATTTGTTCATTAAACAGTTATGGTGAAACAATGATAAAATGTATGGGTAAATCAAAAGGTAAGGTTATTCATCAATAATTTTTGGAAAAATTATATTATGAACCTTTAGTACATCTTACATTGAATTCGGACGAGTATCGATGCTTTCAACGTGGTATGATCGCCCCTAAATGCCCTGGTACGTCCAAGAGTGGCGAGAGTCTGCTCTCTCTCTCTCTCTCGAAATGCACTCACACGGCCACGCGTATATAGCCTCGATCAGGGAAGTCCTAATCACTGCTTTCTCGTGGCATTACCGTTGTTTACGAAATTGGAAGGATGAGAAGAGAATGTCCGGCGCTTTAACCGGGTCGGTGGATATGGAGGATCCAACTAAGGTGTTGGAAGACCCTGATTCCAAACCAATGGTGCACATGGGTTCTAGTACCATGGGACTGCATCTCCTAACGATGCTCTACTGCTTTGTGGATCAGATCTTTAAGTCAAAGGCTCCGGGTGTGGCCCTCTCAGAAAACCACTTGTTTCAGTTTGGGCACCTGCGCAGTATCACATCCTTCAATCAAATCAAATAAGATTTGTGTTGCGCATATATATCTGGTGTCCCTTTTTACCAATATTTATGTGCTTAAATAAATTAAACAAATAAATAACATTGAATGCATTTATTACTTACTTTGACTTGTTCATTTAGTAACTATGTCAATCATATCTATAAGGTTGATTAATCATGAACAACAAACAACCTTACATAAATGTATCAGTCTAGATTGTTAAAGTTCATATCTTCACTTCAAGTGGAGAAATTGGCAAGAGCCAACACCGTTGTAATAAAAAAAACTGAATATAGAAATACAATTTGACAACAACAACAACAACAACATTATGTTCTTACTTCTTTGCTGTCCCTACTAAAAGCAAGTGTATCAACTTAGTTACTGTATATACCAACAATCGATAGCCCATCCGAAGTTCTCTTTTGTCGCGATACTAGGACGAACTGGATGCCTAGTGCTTCCAGGTTTTCAATGGTGGTCTAAAGTTGATCGGTTTATGATCTTAATTAAAATCACTTGTTCAATAAATATATATTTATATAATAGATAAATAAATGATTAGTTTTACATTTATGGTAATAGTTTTCGGACATTATAATCTAGTAGTTTCAAGTAAAAGACAAAATTAAGTTTCTGTTTTGAGATCAAAAGATTTCATTATCGGTGATTTCTATGGTATTAAACCTTTGACATATGTGTGCTGCTAGTTAGCACTCATCAAGAAAGAATACCTGAAGGTAGCATCAGTTCCCTCAAAATCGGTGATATGACTTAATAATGAGTGTTAATTAGCCGGAAATCTTGGTCTATAGTATCCTATTAATTATATCCAGGATCTATATATATATATATATATATATATATATATATATATATATATATATATATATATATATATATATATATATATATGCGCCACGCAAATCTCATTTGATTTGTGTGAGGGCTGTGATACTACCCAGATGCCCAAACTGAAGCATGTGGTTTTCTTAAGGGACCACACCAGGAACCTTTAACCGAAAGATCTGATCCACAAGGCAGTGGAGCATCATGAGGAGATGCAGTCCCATGGTAGTCGGTGACCAACGATTGATTCATACGCCATTTGTTTCCTCAGGATAATGGAGCCAGCCCATGAGCACAATTGGTTTGGAATGAGGATTTTCCAACTCCCCTAGGCGGACTATCCGTGTCCACCAACCCGGTTAAAGCACCGGAAATTCGCTATCCGTCCTCTCCATTTCGTAAACAACACCCTTGCCACGAGAAGGCAGTGAGTAGGACTTCCCTGTCAGAGACTGTATACGCGTGGCCATGTGAGAGCATTTCGAGAGTGAGAGCAGACTCTCCACCTTTGGCCGTACCAGAGCATTTGAAGGCACATTACTCAGTGATTAAATAATATAAAAGTTTTTTTTATTTCGTATATTTCTATTATAACAACAGATTTACAACAGAACACTTTCATTCAATCTTCATTTTAAACAAAAAGAAATACCTTTTTCTTTCAGATGTAAATATTCAACTTTCAACAAATTACTGTACATTCCCAATCACTCATATTGGTGAATTCCATCATCAAGTAGTGAATATCATAAATCATTCCGACTATTCAACAGTCTATGAATTAGTAGCTGGTCAATCACAAATGTATATTGATGAAAATAATCAATCATTTACTATTGTATCTACAGTATTTCCAATTATTAAAGGTATATCGAATGGTATTATTAAATCAAAAGAAACGTTACAATTGATTATTGGTTTTTATCCACAAGTACCAGGTCATTTTTATCGTCGATTTACTCTATTAGTGTGTAATCAAGTATGTATAATGATAATAATAATTATTATTCACTGAGTATTGTTTGTTTTGAATGAATCTTCCCATTGATGTTTTTAGGATTGTAACTGGTCAGTCTGTAATTGGCATATGTGCATACTGTGCGTATTGCTTCGATATAGCCTTATTTAACAAGCATTATAGGCAAAGATGGATAGTGGCTAACAGTGGAATCTAGTTCGACGCGCGTTTCATCCTATTTGGGACTCGTCAACCAGATGAATCTGCATCACAGAGTTGATGTTCACTCTGGGACTTTAACCCAGTATCGTTCGCTTCAAACGCCATCTCGTTATCCACTTATCTACTGAGTTCAGATACTCACTTGCTTGTGCAATGGGCTGGGGTTTAAATTCATATGGTACTGTTTACTTATATCTTCCCATTGATTTTTAGGACTGCAATTGATCAGTCTCATATTAGCATGTGTGCATCCTCTGCGAACTGTCTCGAAATTGCATTGTGTGACAAGTATTATAAACATAAATAGATAATGATTAGCAGCGGAATCCAGGACGTGAATTTCGTCCTATTTTTGCTTATAATGATTATGACTTAAGGTAATATCGAGGCAATCTGCACAGGATGCACATATGCCAATAGGAGACCAATCAATTGCAGTCCTAAACATCGATGAGAAGATTCAAACACGATAAAAAATGAATATCTGAGTGAACTATGAAACATATTTCTAAGCAAATGATGTAACAGCTGCTTTTTATTGGTTAACTACAAGAATTCAGCAGATGTCTGATTAGTTATTTCTATTGATATCCTACTAATATTTTAATTAAAATTAACCCTGAATCCGGACTTAAATGATTTTCCATCATATTGCAGTGAATGTGAACATGACTGGGAACAATCTAATGTATTATAGCACAAATTACAGGCTATCTCACTAAAATCTGATAATCATACAATGAACAGTTAATTTGCAAAGTAACCATCAATTGTCTCAATCTTCACTGTTCCTTCTGCAAATATCAGTCCGTCATCTCTGATTTCATTGTTCATGCATTTTTGTACCGATTGAGTTTCATTTCTGATCGTTCCTTATCGATCTTCTGCCAAAATACATTCTATGTCTGACCATCACCATATACTACTTATATGGATATAAGTAGACCATGCCACAATATCAGTTGGATAATTTATTAAATTAGGTTAAAGACAATTATAGAGTTTTGTACAAATAATCCAAGTTATTCATATACTGAATTTCGGTGTTTATCTGTTACATAAGATAAGTCAATCTCTTTTTATTTATATCATGGTTAACCAGTGTATGTTTTCAGTTGAACAGTTCATTAAAACAGATTATGTCAAGTGATCAAAAATGAGAAGAGTTTGCCTCTTTCTAATAAATTTATACATTCCATAAATAGAAATTCAGTAATATTAACATAAAAAGCTTCATAATGGTGAATTATTCATATATAGAAAAGGAGAGGAAGTAAATTCTCTTTGGTCAATATGATCGACTTTGAATAACAAATCTAGAAGTTAAGCGTTCGCTTACAAGACCGATGGTACTGGGTTCGAGTCCCACGTGCGTGATCTTGGATGTGCATTGTTGAGGAGTCCTATACTGGGACGAAACAGTCGTTCAGTGCTTCCAAATTTTTCATGGTGATCTAGTATTAATCGACTCATTAATTCAACTATAGAATGTAAAGTATTCAATCATTACCATTATATACACAACAAATGATCACTGCCTCTATCATAACTTTTATTATAATCATTAACCTATTATTCTGTATACTTCCTTTTTTCTCTGTCGAAAAACGCTTTTGAATATCTACTGTCAATAAATCTATAAACTATTAGGATACTAACTCTACATAGAAGGTCAATACTAATTCAATTGGCTTTTTAATTGCTCTATTCATTTGATACTTCTAGAAACTTTGATATCATCAAATGATTAACTAAGAGCCAGTGGCTATCATCAAATGAGTCGATGATAACTAAACTATTTCTAGTCAGATATCATATTTTAGAAACTACTAGACCATTTATCAGTTAACCTTGATAACTAAATTTTATAGTTGAAAGCATGAACCAATTGAAGCTAGACCACCAAGGAAAACCTAGAAGCACTGGACGGCCGTTTCGTTCTACTGTGGGATTCCTCAGCAGTGCACATCCACGACCAAGCGTCGCGAAATTCCAATTGTCTTCAGTGAGTTGAAATCTCTACAACAAACGTGGTTTGAACTCCACTGGTCACTGCTTCCTACTAGAACTCCAGGAAATATCTTTTGAAGTCAGTCACTAGTGACCATATGATCATAGATCAGAAGGGGGGTTTTATGGAGATTTAGTATTTTCATAGTTGAAAGCATGAGTCAGTTGAAGCTAGACCACCAAGGAAAACCTGGAAGCAACGAACGGCCATTTCGTCCTATTGTGGGATTTCTCAGCAGTGCACATCCACGGCCAAGCGTCGTGAAATTCCAACCCAGGACCTACCAGTCTCGCGCTGGAGCACTTAACCGATAGACCACTGAGTTTGCTGGCATCGCATGGTGTTAATATCTCACTTCAATCAATCCACGAAGTTGAGAAACCGTTCATCAATTGTCCTCAGTGAGTTCCTATCTCTCGTAGATGTGCATTGCCGAGGAGTTCCACAATAGGACGAAATAGCCGTTCATTGCTTCCAAGTTTTCCTTGGTGGTCTAACTTCAATTGACTCATGCTTTCAACTATGAAAATACTAAATCTCCATAAAGACCCCTTCCGAACTGAATTTTATTTATTGTGAAAGTTTAACATTCAATAATCACTAAATTATTATTTTTATTTTTAATTTGAAAGGAACCACAATTTTTACATTTATTTGGTACTGGTCATAATTTAATTGAAAGACCACATCATTTAAAACCAAAACATTTAATGAATATAGAATTATATAATCAAAAATTGGGCAATGAAATCAATGTAAGTTTGGTTTAATTGAATTATTTATTATTGTTTTATTATTAATGTATTTGTAATTGATTTCATGGAGAAACTGATTTAATCTTTAGATGGTGTTTGTCACAATATTGACTTCAAATGAGGCGCCCAAATACTTTGGTACGGTTAAGAGTGGGAAGAGTACGCCCTCCCTCACGAAATGCTCTCACATGGTGGGCCTAGTGGACACGGAGAGTCCATCTAGCGGATTCAGAAAACCCTGATTCCAAACCAATGGTGCACATGGGCTGGCTCCAGTATCCTGAGGGAATAAATGGCGTATGAATCAATCGTTGGTTATCGGCTACTATAGAATTGCATCTCCTTACGATGGTCCACTGCCTTGTGGATCAGATCTTTAGGTTTAAAGCTCCGAGTGTGGCCCCCTAAGAAAACCACCTGCCCTCACACGAGTAAAATGAGGTTTGTATGGGGTATATATGTATCTGGTGCCCCTTTTGTACCAATATTTATGTGTTTATATAATAATAATAAAATAAATAACTACTGAAGACTAAGTAGTATTGGTAAGGTGTTTTGTCATATAGTTGAACTGTTATATCATAAGCATTTTCAACTTCAGTAGAGCTCTAACTCGGGATTTTCATGTCTCGTGACGTGTGCTTAATTATTAGACCACTGGTTGGTATTTAATGTTATACATTTTCAAACTCAATATATTCGTGATATGGGATGAAGTTATCTAATGTTAATGGTCACAACTGATATGTTTGTTCACTTCAAACTGATTTCAGTTGAACCATAACACTGTTCAATTTAACCTTGATGTGATGACTGAGCTTACTCAGCGCGACTACTATATCAAGGCAGATTAGTTGAAATAATTTTTAGGTAGGACTAGTATGTAGCACATATATCATCGACTACTGAATATACGGTGCTAAGGTATAGCAGCCTCAGCATCAGTAGGTTTCTATATTAACAAAGGGAAAAGCAAGACTCTCCAATACAATACAGCACGCACCAATCATATCACACTTGACGGAGAAGCTTTGGAGAATGGAAAAACCTTTACATATCTGGGTAGCATCATTGATGAGAACGGTGGATCTAATGCAGATGTGAAGACGCATTATGTTTTACTTAACTTATGATGTTTCAACCGCCTACAACATAATCCATAAGTTGGATAATGTAATAAGAAGATGAAGATTATCAGAGCTAATATGATGTATGAACATAATACATTTCGAACAATCTGATCACATTTATACTTGTTAAAAACATTTATATCTGAAAAATTAATAGGTCAATAATACAAATGGAAGGTAAGAAGAGTAGAAGTAAATAAAGTAAATTGATCTGAAGAAGTGCTGTGAAACTCAGCCTAATGGATGATGAAATTATATTATCGGGGTGGGTTGAATAGGAAATAAATTTTTGCATGGTCAAGGATTCAATACACCTTCATATATGCTGCCTTAGACAACTTGAATACAAAAATCTAAACGTTGATGATATGCTTGAGCTAAGTCGATTCTCGGTAACGAACGAAGGTCAATGACATAATGACACAATGGGCTAATCTAATCCGTTGTCCCAGGCCCCGCTAACTAGAGGAAGAAGTCGAAGGCGAAGTAGGAGAATATATAATTTCCATAAGCAGCCGAGTACAAGTAAGTCATAAGGGGAAAAACCTCAAACGTATATATACAGTGATAATTTGTCCTTGGGTAGCATTGCAAAATAGCACACTTAAAAATACAACAGACCAATAGCCTTTAAGATATTTTACAAGTGGGAAATACGACCTGAAGGTGAAAAGAGCGCCTTTGGTGCGAAAACAAGGAAATTCAAATTTTCAAAATAAAATTACAAAATTAAGCAATTTACCAAGTAAGTTCTGAAGATTTGACATCCCCAACAGTTGAGTAAAGAGATGTTTTATGATCTTTTATAACTATATGTTTAGTAATAGAGGGAGATGGATGTTTAGGAGCTGCTTTTAAAATGTATTATCAAAATCATTGAGAAGAAATAGATTATCTGATCCCTAATAGGGTTCTAAAGTGTCTATAATAATATTTCAATCAGTCTATTCCCTTTAATATTGATTGTAGAATGAGTATTCTAAATAATATCTAAAATTTAATTTGTCCCATTACTTTATAGACATTTCAACAATATGTTTATGATAATCATCAAAATGGCTATGAGATTTATTCTGAAATGATGCAATCATCGGAAATCATGGTGAGTAATATTGAAAAAATAATCGATTTTAGGGTAATTGATTGAGTATATGTGATCTTGCCGAGAGAGGGGATAGTCCGCTATTCCTCCCGAAATGCTTTCACATGGCCGCGCGTATATAGCTTCTGACAGGGAAGTCCTATTCACTGCCTTCTCGTGGCGGGGTGCTATTTACAACTTTGAGAGGACGGGAAGCGAATGTCCGGCGCTTTAAGCAGGTCGGTGGACCCGGAAAGTCTACCTAGGGGAGTTGGAAAACCCTGATTCCAAATCAATTGTGCACATGGGCTGGCTCCATTATCCTGAGAGAACAAATGGTGTATGAATCAATCGTTGGTCACCGGCTACCATGGGACTGCATCTCCTCACGATGCTCCACTGCCTTGTGGATCAGATCTTTAGGTCAAAGGTTCCGGGTGTGTCCCCCTAAGGAAACTACCTGTTTCCGTTTGGGCAGCATCACAGCCCTCACACAAATCAAATGAGATTTGTGTGGCGCATATATATATATCTGGTGCCCATTTGTACCAATATTTATGTGTTTAAATAAATAAATAATATGTGTTCAAAATCAACTATGAAATGTTTCGAATAATATTATCTGATTTCAAAGTGTTATTTAAGTAGATCTGAGAATGAACATGTTGGGGCGATCCTGAAAATTTCTTGCAATATAGGTGACACACTCGGTGTTTGATTAGAACTTTTGCTAGAAATATTGCGAAAATAAAAAGTCACATGTAGAGGTTATGATTGACTGATTACTACTGCACTGCTAATATGTTTAGTAGTATTCTAGAATTTTCAAGAAAACCCAAGGATTTCTAAAATACTATAAAAACCCTATATATTTTGTACATAAATGAACCTTTAGAGTCAAGTGCTTCTTGTATATTTTGTGCCTTTTCTCTCGTGTTCAAGTCGCTGTGTAGTTCTAGCTTGTGAGTAACGAGACTAGCTTAGGATCCGAATATAGCCACAACTAATTGATCACTGGGTGGTGATCACTGTCATGCGTATCAAGTCCTTCTTAGTGCTGATCGAATACTATCGATCAAGTTACAATCTGGCCACTAGTCTAAGTGTCTCGATACTGTGTGCACTATGTTGAGATAAGATGATGTTTGAAGGTGTTCAACAAGAAACGCGAGATCAAATCCGTCAAGTAGCTCCAGTTCCCTTAAGATTACAGGTACACTTTGCTAACGAGTGCCAAATGGCACGAAACCCGGGTTCAGGGTTTCCTGTTGACCACCACGAACCACCATCTTATCCGAATATAGCGTTCAATCAGCAAGACTTATCAGAACATATCTTTCCAATATATATATGATTATCACAATATTATCTTATTGTTTAACTCTTTCTTTTTCCGGGTGGCCGATGGTGTTGTTTTCTTCCTTAAACACAGATGAATCCACCATTACTCTCATTAAATCATACAATATGGGATTTTACTTCAAATTCTGATTTATTATCTAAAGCATTATTATGTGTAGAACAATTCAACAAAACAATCAATCAAGGTTTACCCTTAAATCTTGATGATTTAGCTATATGTAATACATTGATCATTCAAAATTGTACTAATCATGTCTTAATAATTCATTGGACTTCCAATAAACAACTTGATGTCAATCATCAATCAATCAATAATGATAATCAATATGAAGTAAAAATCAATAGTTTTAGAATAGAACCACAAACAAAAGAACTTGCACCAAATAGTTCAACAGAATTTACTATATTATTTACACCAGTAAGTTATTACTATGGTGATTATATATGATCTAACAGTATTTCTCATAAGCAAAGATAGATAATGGTTAGTACTGGAATACAGGATGTGCGTTTCCTCTTATCTGGGACTCGTCAGTTGGATGTGCCTCCATCTCAGAGTTCAAGTTCACTCCTACTTACTTACTTGCTTACTTACTTACTTGCTTGCTTACTTACTTACTTGCTTACTTACTTACACCTATTGCTTCCAATGGAGCATAAGCCACCGATCAACATTCTCCAACCCACCCACTCTGTCCTAGGCCTTTCTTTCTAGTTCTATCCAATTGTTGTTCATTCTTCTCATGTCTGTCTCCATTTCTCGTCGTAATGTGTTCTTTGGTCTTTCTCTTCTCCTTTGGCCTTGAGGATTCCATGTGAGGGTTTGCCTTGTGACGTAGTTGGGTGATTTTTGCAATGTGTATCCTATCCACTTCCAGCGGTTCTTCCTGAGTTCTTCTTCCATTAAATGGAATCTGGTTTGTTCTCTCCCATAGTAGGTTGTTGCTGATAGTGTCTGGTCAACAGGTCCGAAGTATTTTGCGTAGACAACTGTTAATAAATATCTGTATCTTCTGGGTGGTGGCTTTCGTAATTCTCCACATCTCCGCCACATACAGTAGAACTGTCTTGACATTTGTATTGAAAATTCTGATCTTGGTGTTGATTGACAATTGTTCACTCTCGGTCTTAATATTCTTGATTAAATGTAGAATTATAATGAATTTATTTCAATAGTGTTATTGTAGTGAGCAAGAAGAAGACGAGTGGAGACAATCGAATGTATTGACACCAAAATTACAGACTATCTCATTGAACATTGACAACCATATAGTAAACAGTTAATTTGCAAACTATCAATCAATGGTCTCAATCTTGACCATTTCTTGTGAAAATATCAGTCTATAGTCTCCGATTATTATTGTTCATGCATTTTCATACTAATTGCATCCTGTTCTCATTCTCTCCTTATCGATCTTCTAGTGAAATACATTCGATGCGCGACCATCGTCATATACTACTTATGTGGATGTAAGCAATCCACACCACATTATTACTTTATTCAATTATGTAATTATTCAATTGAAATGACAACTCTTTAAATTGGTTGGAATATATATTATATGTGGTAAACTACCATCTTAATGTTCTCTAAAGTAAACTACGTTGAAAGTAAGCTAAGAGAAATTGAACTAAAATATGTAATCAATTCATTAAGGATTATTTCGGACAATGTATGATAGTCTAAACTACCGGCTTGAATATCTGGGCTACCTGTTCCTGCTATCTGGGTATTTCAACAAATTATCTGTTTCCTTGTTTGTTTTAACAGATCATTATGTCAATTCATTGCATAACCCATTCAGATGCGTTTCTGAAAAGTGTACAACCTTTCGTTGTACAAGTTACAAGAAAGTGTACAATCAGAGACGTTGTTATTAGCGATAATGTGCAACAAAAAGAATAAACATTATTCAAATATCGATTCCTGAACTGCTAATATCTAATTGGTGATCTCTGTCGAATGATTGGGGGCCTTTTGAAGTTAGATGTGAGTGGTGTGACGAACCAGTTAACTTTGAAGTCACACCTCGTGGTCAGTATGTAAAAAGGATTACATCTTCAACGTATCAAAGTACCATAGCTGCTTTAAAGACTGTATAACATAAAGAGCGTGGTTACACAAATATATTAGTAAGAATGAGTTCAGAGATGTTAGTGAGACCACTACTGCATGGGCTAGTCCATGGTGTATGATTAACTGATGTGCGTTTGTTATCCTTGACTTTGACAGGGATCGATGATCTGCTCGATATTCAGTGACCCAACTGCTGGATGATTTTGCTAGGGCTCAGTGACATTTCACTGCCCCTACAAAATAAATAAATCACATATGATAAACTACAATTAAGGGAACTTTTAAAGTTAAACAACTAACTCATCATTGAGTTTCTGAAATGTTTGATCATTATGTTGTTCTTTTTTAAAGGCTAATATGTGCCAGTATTATCATCAAGAATTTGAAGGATTCGCTATGTACAAAAATCAACGAGATGATAGTTTGATTAGTTCAGAAAAGATAAAACCACCTTATTGTTTACTGGTGAATTGTTATGGTATGTTAAATCAGATTGTTTTCATTGTTTATTGATATAAAGTATACATATGCTTAGATCATAACATATGTAGTCCACATTGTTCGGGCTTGCCTATTGTGATGACTCAACCGAACTATATTGGCTGGAACGTATGTTCCTGTAGGTTCTATCATGTCAGGCAGGTCGATTAGAGAACAGTAAGACTAAAAGCAGCAACTCAGGGTCTGAGGGAGAAGTCGTACTGCTGACTGTAGAGGGGTGTGACATCAGTAATGTCTTTCCCTCAGACAACCAGCAACTGCAGCGATACTGCCTTCTCACAAGGAAGGAAGGGGTTAGAAAAGGTTGACCCTAAAAAGAACGGAGATAACACGTCAAGAATCCCCCACAAAAAAGCCGTGCGTGACCGGCCACAAGCAGTTGTCTCTTGGTCTCTGTGGTCACGCTCCCAGGTCGTTAAGACCAACATTTATCCAACTTCCTTTTCAGGTCCCTCAAGCAATACCATTCGACGGTGTGAGCAGCCGGTAAGTGATATTAGCTTTAAAGTATTGTATATTCTTGAAAAAGCTGCAGTTTTGTGTGTTCAGTGTGATAAAATCCGTTATAAAACTTGCCATTCTTCCTGAATAGGCATGTTTGATCCACAACAAGTCTTTGACGCTTAGGCTGATAGAATTTAGATTTATTCCCATTACTGATGAGTACATTACATGTTCTTTAGTGCAGCATCAAACTCTTAACGTTAGTACCAAGAATATACATAACCATGAATGTAATTATACACATTGTTAGTGTTTGAGAAATACGATTAATCAGCTTTTAAAAGTTAGATTAGACTCTGTAAAATATGAAAATGGATCTAATCCAGAACATTTTCATTCATTCTTTTCATCGGTCTCTCAATTATGTATACCAAAATGTAAGCTAGACCACTATGGGAAACCCGGAAGCACTGAACAGCCGTTTCATCCTAGTATGAGACTCGGCAGTGCGCGTCCATAACTCCGAATGCGGGATTCAAACCCGGGACCCTCGATCGTGCGTGAGAACACTTAAACTCCAAACCATTGAGCCGGCATTCAGCGGCGTCCATCGATCCAGGGCTGGCTGCAAAACCGCCCAGCGCTTTCAGGTTTTCCATGGTGATCTAGTTTACATAGACTCATGAATTCAACTATTAAAATCACTACAGACTCCACAAAAACCCCATCCCGATATATTTTTTTTTAAAGATTTAGATTAAACATGAAATAAGGATGTAACTCACTGACAGCACTTGATGTAAATCATAGCATATCACAAATAAATAGTAGTTAAACAACCTGATTACTGAGTCGACTCAATAATTTAAAGATATCTTTCGAACTACAAGACCTGAGGATCTTGATCTTCATGATAGTTGATAATACTGAGAAGATTCTACTTAAAATAAGAAAATCTGTTTACTTTTCCATAGTTATCAATTATAGTGTATGAGAACACAGTGGAGGCAATCGGATGTAATTGAATACGAAATCACAAAACGTTTTAATAAAATCTGAGAACAATACAGTAAATACTTCATTTGCAAAATGTTAGTCAATCGTCTCAGACTCTAATGTTCATTCGTTTCCACACCAACCATTCTTTGTTCTCGTTCTCTTCTGTTCGATCTGCTTACCCCTCTGCCATCAGGCATTTCACTTTCGATAGATGATACATACTACTTATATCTGTTGACATCAATAGCACACACCACACAATGACTTTCAATCTAATTTCAACTTGTGATGATATTTACTTATGCAGTAGTTGTCAGCTAAACCAATAAATTCATGTTAGCAGATGGGGGACTAATGCCAGAAGTGAAAAAGACAATAAAATTCAATGTGTAATTCAATTTATATTTAGTTTGATGATCATCTTATTAGTATCAGAAGGGATTTTGTGGAGATTTCTGCATTTTCATAGTTGAAATCATGAGTCGACTGAAACTGGAACACCATGGAAAACATGGAAGCACTGGACGGCCGTTCCGTCCTATGGTGGGACTCCTCAGCAGTGCGCATCCACGACCTCGCCTCGCAAGCGAGATTCGAATCCAGGACCTACCAGTCTTGCGCCAGAGTATTTAAAAAATAGACCATGGAGCCGGTTGGCATCCGATTGCGTTATTGTCTGACTCCAACCAATTCACGAAGTTTGAGCAACCGTTCACCAATTGTCTTCAATGAGTTGATATCTCTACAACAGACATGGTTGAACTTCACTGGTCACTGCTTCCTATTAGAACTCCCGGAAATATCTCTTGATGTCAGTCACTAGCGAGCATATGATTATAGATCAGAAGGGGTTTTGTGGAGATTTCAGTATTTTGATAGTTGAAATATATTTACTACTAAGCATAACAAATGTGATAACCCCCCCCCCTTGTTTCTCATCTTTTATTGTTGTCTCCCTTGTTATTTTTTTAATTAATTCACAGGTCATACATTCCCTAGTAATAAACAACCATTTACACCATGTTATGAAATGAATAAATCAAAAATTATATTTGATCCAATTGAATATTGTGAAAATAAATATGATTCAATATCATTATATAATAAAAGTGAATATCCATTATTAATACAACATAAAAATCTTATGAAATGTTTGAATTATGAAAAATTTGACGAGTAAGCTCTCCATCTACCCCTCCCCCTTCTCTTTCCCTTCTCCCTCCCCCTCTCTCCCTCCCTCTCTCTCCATCCCCTTCCTTTTCTCCCCCCCCCCGATCCCCCTCTCTCTCTATATATATATACATATATATAGAAATTAGTGAATTACTACTGAAATACTCATTACTTAGCTAAACAACAACAACAACATTTTAATATGATGGAATAAATCCTAAAAAACCAAGGAACAATAAATTTCTATACCCTTTATAGCTATGGTAATGAATAAATTTGAGTGGAAAACTAATTATTCACGTCACTAGAATTAAATTAGTGTTAAGTAGTGAACAATCATTAGGTTAGAATCTATTTGATGTTGTTTACTTGTATCTTCCCATTGTTATTTAGGACCGCAATTGATCAGTTTGTGGTTGGCATATATACATCCTAAGCGGACTGCCTCGATATTGCCTGAAGTCACAAGCTTTATAAACAAAAATGGATTGGGGCTAGCAGTGGAATCCAGGATGCGCGTTTTGTGGATAACGTGATGGCGTTTGAAGTGGACGGTACTGGATTCGAGTCCCAGAGTGAACATCAACTCTGAGATGCAAGTACATCTAGCTGACGATTTCCAAATAGAACGAAACGCGCGTCCTGGATTCCATTACTGGCCACTATCCATCTTTGCTTATAAATCATTAAGTCAGTCTGTTTTATCATTAGTACAATTAAGAGAGTAATGGTAAATGATTACACAATGGATAGATATTGCTTTTTATTTTAAACTTCTATCCAATACACGTTTATAATGTTACCATCAGTAAAAACTAGAAAAGTCCACTACTTTACAGGTGTGATCAGGCATTACAAGGATTTTAATAATATGAAACAAGTTGACAGAATAGTTAGAGGTGATTTCATTCATAGAGTACCAAATTCTTATTGGAGTATAGACTATAAGAGTAATCAATCTAGTAAACACTAAGTTGTCTTCAGTAGGTAGTATAAGAAGAATATATGTACCGTAAGAAAGTAGCATGGCTACGACTTTATGAGAGTTTTGGAATGATAAATAGGCTGAGAAATATCAGAAATTCAGTTTTCTATTCAGCTCAGTCTCAACTTCGCAGACTGTGAAACTTCATGACACAAGTTTGAATCCCATAGGGAGCATCAGTCCCTTAAAAATTTCAAGTATTATTAATTAGCATGAAATTATTTTATTTATTTGAACACATAAATATTGGTACAAAGGGGCATCACATATATATATGACACACAAATCTCATTTGATTTGTGTGAGGGCTGTGATACTGCCCAGATGCCCGAACCGAATCAGGTGGTTTTCTTAGGGGGCCACACCCCGAGTCTTTGATCTAAAGGTCTAACCCACAAAGCAGTTGAGCATCGTAAGGAGATGCAGTCCAATGGTAGCCAGTGACCAACGATTGATTCATACGCCATTTGTTCTCTCAGGATAATGGAGCCAGCCCATGTGCACAATTGATTTGGAATCAGGGTTTTCCAACTCCCCTAGGTGGACTCTCCATGTCCACCAACCCAGTTAAAGCGCCGGACATTGGCTTTTCGTCTTCTCAATTTCGTAAGCAACAGTGATGCCACGAGAAGGTAATGAGTAGGACTTCCCTGTCAAAGGCTATATATTCGCTGGCCATGTGAGAGCATTTCGAGAGGGAGGGTGAACTCTCCCCACTCTCGGCCGTACCAGGGCATTTGGGGGCATGAACTATATATCTGCGGTTTCCTGTCAGCCATATTCAATCACCAATCATATTGGGATGTTATGAAATTGTTTGCATATTAAGTTGTTGCATTCAACAAATAACAATTTCTTCCTCATTAATAGTTTATACATCAATCAATTAATCAATAAACATTAATATATCGATTTCTTATAATCTAACAATCATCATGATTTTTTTTGTTTTAAATATTAAGGAATAGTTTCAATATTCAACTGATTCCTTCAATAACTTTAATTCCGGCTAATTCATATAAAGTGATTGTTTTTCGATGTGAAACTAACCAATCATATGCTGACATCAAGAAAAAGATGGCGATTAAAGAAGATGAAATTATACTTAAAGGACTTGAGATTGTGTCTATGAATAAGCAACCAGAATATGAATGGGTAATTATCTTATATCGTATATATATATATATATATATCAAGAGAGAGAGACTATCTTAGTTACTTACTTACTTACATACACCTGTTACCCCTTGTGGAGGAGCATAGGCCGCATACCAGCATTCTTTATTCAACTCTGTCCTGGGCAATCCTTTCCAGTTCCCACCAGTTAACATTCATCTTTTTCATATGTGTTCTTCAGCCTTCCTCTTCTCCTTTGACCTTCAGAATTCCATGTGAGGGCTTGCCTTGTGATTCAGTTGGGTGATTTTCTCAATGTGTGTCCTATCCACTTCCAGTGCTTCTTCCTGATTTCTTCCTCCATTAAATGGAATCTGGTTTGTTGTCTCTCACAGTAACTTGTCGATGATAGTGTCTGGCAAACGGATCCGAAGTATCTTGCCTAGACAACTGTTAATAAACACTTGTATTATCTAGATGATGGTTTTCGTAGTTCTCCACGTCTCCGTCCCATACAGTAGAACTGTCTTGACATTTGTATTGAAAATTCTGATCTTGGTGTTGGTTGAATTTCATATTTTATAGTTATAAGAATAAATTTACACTTAGTTTCTTAAGTAGACGTTTGTACTGATGATGTTATTCAGAAGGACGATCAAACCATCCAACTCAGAGAACAAAAAAGCTATCCAAATAAATATAAGCAAAGATGGATAGTGGCTAGCAGTAGAATCCAAGATGCGCTTTTCGTCCTATTTGGGACTCATCAGCTGGATATATCTGTGTTTCAGATTTGACGTTTACTCTGAGACTCGAACCCAGTGCTGTTCGCCTCAAATGCCATCACATTATTCACTTCGCTACTGAGCCCTGATAGTCACTTGCTGTCATAATAGTTACTTAAGTAAATTAAATCTGGGTGCGAACCTCGTGAGGCGAGGTCGTGGATGCGCACTGCTGAGGAGTCCCACAATAAGACGAAACAATCTTCCAGTGCTTTCAGGTTTTCCATGGTGGTCTAGCTTCAATTGACCAATGATTTCAACTCTAAATTAGGTCTGTTTAAATCTCCTTTCTGATATCTTATATATTTTGATGTTATTCTTATAATAAACATTTGACTATTTCAGAGAATCCCAATAGAAATAGATTTTACCATAGCAAATATCACTTTAGAAAACAATGGTGAACTATATTTTATACCCACCCACATTGGGTCATATACACAAAAAGAATTCAATATAACAAATATCTCACCTTATAAAACAGAGTAAGTTTTATGAATGTTATTGTGATATTATTAGTATATTCATTTTTGTATGCTAAAGATTCGATGAACCCTGGAGGTTGTAAATCTGCTCTACTTAGAAGACCCCTACTAGGTGGAACCATCCATTCAGTGTTCAGTGGTTTTCAATAGTTTTCCTAATGAGGTTGGTTTTTGATGACATTAAAGACACTTTTAGAGTTGAAGAAGAACAAAGTTGATAAATCCAGGACGATTGAGAGCATTTTGGAAAGATAGAGAGAGTAAAAGTAACTTTTGTAGTGAATAAGCATATAAGTGAGGACAGTCGAATGTACAGACTATCTCACTAAAATCTGACACCCGTACAGTAAACAGTGAATTTGCAAAAATATCAATCAATTGTCTCAATCTTGACAATTCCTTCTGCAAATATCAGTCCATCATCTCTGATTATCATTGTTCATGCATTTTCATAGCAATTGCGTTTCGTTTCCGTTCTTTCATTATCGATCTTCGGCCAGACTATAATTTATGGACGGGCCAAACAGAAGCGTTTGAGGGATTTCAAGGTCATGGCACCAATTTCAGTACCTGATGCTCATGTATGATCGGTTTACAGAGAATTTTAGAGAAGACTTGACAATTAAGCGGCTGCAACAAATGAGACTGCTATGAAGTTCCTGTATTTGTAATTGAGCGTATTAAATGACTTGTAGACCTTGTGCAGACGACCATGATGTTGTCCTTCGATGTAATATATGTTGAAGGAAGACGTTTGCAACAATAGGAACCTTTATCGCTCGATCCACATTGAGACTAAGACACATTATAATAATTGCCGCGAACTGTATAATAAAAGTTCCAGTAACATTGGCTGCAATAATCGTAGATGTTACTGAAGCTTCGGCGGTTCAATGGAATGAGTATTGTAGGGACATATCCGTAATAAAAATGATAAAATTACACAACTCGAGTACACACAAACAATAATGAAACTGTGATTGAGGCTGAGAGTGTTTCTGTGACCTTATCATGGCTCCAGAGACCGACTATTATGGAGCCATATGGATGCGTTCGTCTAAAACTTTTGAACTTCTTTCTAACCTTGACAAGTTTTTGGACCATGTAAAAGAAGTGTACCTACTCTAATATTTATACTCTATACGGAATGTCTTCTGATTGGCTAATATTTCTCAGGGTCACTTAAGATTCGTTCAAAGGTCCTTCATAAATTATAGTCTAGCCCGATCTTCTAGTGAAATGCATTCAATGCTCTACCATCGTTACATACTACTTATGTTGATATAAGTAGCCTATGCCACTTTTCCTAATTAAAAATTAACAAAAAGAAGACTTCTTTCCTTAGATTGTCAGATAAAGAATCAGTATATTTTTCATTGCCACAATGATAAAAGGGATAAGTTTTGTACTACTTATAAAAGACAAATTAGAATATCGAATATTAACTCAGAATGTTTACAATTTCTACCTTTTATTATCAGAAGCGGTTTTGTGGAGATTTAGTATTTTCATAGTTAAAAGCCTGAGTCAATTGAAGCTAGACCATCAAGGAAAACCTAGAAGTACTGGACGGCCGTTTCGTCCTATTGTGAGACTCCTCAGCAGTGACCAGTGGAGTTCAAACCACGTCTGTAGTGAGATATCAACTCACTGAAGACAATTGGTGAACGGTTGCTTATACTTCGTGGATTGGTTGGAGTTATACATGAACACCATCGGATGCCGGCTGACTCAGTGGTCTATTGTTTAAGTGCTTTGGCGTGAGACTGGTAGGTCCTGGATTCAAATCTCGCTCGCGAGGCGAGGTCGTGGATGCGCACTGCTGAGCAGTCCCACCATAGGACGGAACGGCCGTCCAGTGCTTCCATGTTTTCCATGGTCGTCTAGCTTCAATTAACTCACGCTTTCAACTATGAAAATTTCTATTTTATCATCATACGTAACCATCTTATTATTACTTATAACGGGATCGTTATCTTCCTTTTAAAGATTTTGTTGGGAAATTATTTCTGATGACAAAACTGAATTAGAAGTTTATCCAACTAAAGGAGTTCTATTACCAAATGAAATACAAGTATGTAAATACTATTGATTTAACTTACTTAAATGACATCATTGGCTTTATCCATTTGTTAATCCTTTCCTTTCACTTATTAAATTCTGGTTAGCGTTTTTTTAGCGAGTTAGCTTTTCTACGGGATGGGGTCGCTAACCCTATGCCCAACCCTCCTCTTTTACCCGGGATTGTGACCGGCAGTAACTCTAGAAGAGCTACAGGCGGAGTTTTCACTTATTAAATGTTTTGTGTCAATTAAGGAGTATTATCAGAATGGGTATTTATGGAGATTTTAGTAATTTGAAGAGTTGAATTTATGGGCCGATCTAAGCTAGATCACTATTGAAAGCCTTGAAGTATGGGACTTCTCAGCAGTACATACCCACGGTCCTGCACACGGAACTCGAACCCAGGAACATTTAATCTCACGCGCGAACGCCTAACCTTCAGACCAATGAGCCGGTTTACAACGGTTTTATTGTCTAACTTCAACCAATCTATGATATTGCACTACTGGCTACGATTATCTTCCGTGAATAAATGCCTCACAACAGATACGGTTAAACTCCGCTGTTCACGGCTTCTCACTAGTACTCCAGAAATAATGTTTTGTGAAGTTAAAATAAAAATTTATCAAGGGGACTCATTTCATCAAAGATATTCATATTTCTATTTTATATGTAAGTAATTAAAGTAACTATACTATTCAAAATACTCTTAAGGAGCTAGTTATATTTGGCTCACAATTAGATAAATACATCATCGTATTTCTGAACACCATCTCTCATGATTGACTAAAGGACAATAGGAAATAATAAGAAACTTTATCTTAATGCATCTAGTCGATACTGGTCATCTCATAGATAAAGCTTTAGAGTTTGAAGTTATGCATACAATCTCACCGAATTTACCATATGGTTTCGGAATCGGACTCTTACATATAGCAGAAGCTATAGGAATATACATTGAGAAACGTAACTTTGGTATACAAAAAACCGTTCGTACAACCTTTGAATCCTCCCCTGACCTTCTACTTGGATACCATTATATGTTTGAAAATCTTTCTTTGTATTCTCTTAAAAAAATTTTCTGAACTTCGATTTCATTACCATCTTTAATTTCCAATTCTAATCTTACATAACCTGTTTATTAATCATATCTAATTTTCACTACACTCATCCTACCAAGTACTTATCATTAATATCACATATTATGATTTCAATTCCTATTCTTACTCTTATGTAATAACTTGTAATAATTATAAAAATCCACCTTAGTGGCTAGCACTGGAATCCACGACGCGCGTTTTGTCATATTTGGCACTCGTCAGTTGGATGTACCTGCATCTCAGAGTTGATGTTCACTCTGGGACTCGAACCCAGTACCGTTCGCTTCAAACGCCATCGCGTTATCCACCCAGCTATTGAGTCCTGATAGACACTTGTTTGTGCAATGGGTTGAAGTTTAAATTCACTTTATATTATTTGGTTGAATCTTCCCATTGTTGTTTAGGACTGCAGTTGATTAATTTCTTGTTGTCATGTGTTCATCGTGTGAGGATTGCCTCAATATTACCTTAGGTCATAAGTATAAATGGATGGTGACTAGCAGCGGAAACCAGGACGCGCATTTCGTGCTATCTGTACTTACAATGCTTGTGACTTAATGTAATATCGAGGCAATCCGCAATGGATGCATATATGGAAGTAAGAGACTGTTCGACTGAAGTCTTAAACGTCAATGGGAATATTCAAACAAACAATACCAAGTGAATTTAACTGATTATTATATGATTATACTAACTCACCACTATCTAATCGGCACTGCTTTTTTACTCACTTATTATATATATGTTAGTGTAGAGCCTTGGTGAAGAACTAATTAAGAGGTAATATTTCTTCATTCAACTTGCCTTGATTCAAGCTATATGGAAAAACAATATCCTTAATCTTATCACCATCTCTTCAACATACAAATTGTATTGTTGTGAACAGAACATGAGTGGGGATAATCGAATGTATAAAGGCACAAATTATAGACTATCTCACTAAATTCTGATAACCATACACTAGTAAACAGTTAATATGCAAAATAACAATCAATTAACTCAATCTTCACTGTTCCTTCTACAAATATCAATCCATCTTGTCTAATTTCATTGTTCATCCATTTTCGTAAAGATTGTGCCTCATTCCTGTTTGTTCCTTATCGATCTTCTGCTAAAATATATTCTATGTCTGACCATATACTACTTATATGGATATAAGTAGACTACACTATAGTATCACTATGAAAATCTTAATTATTTATTTTGTTTAATGTATGTTCTTTCTTTTGTTGTTGTTCTTCAGTCACAACTATGGACATTTCATCCAACCCAAATAACGAATTGTATTTATAAACCACGTCTTATCTATTGGAGATTAAATCAGTCCAACCAAATGATATCACATGAAATCAAACAAAAAGAATTACGTATCATCACAATGTCTGGAAATGTTCAATTATCCATTGAGCCAGAAACAATTCATTGTCATCCATTATTAGTAAATACATCAGCCAAATATAAGATCAATTTTCATAATCCCAGTATAGTAAGTGTTATCCATAGGATTAACTACTTACCTTTTTATGAATTTATTAAATTACATTACTTTTCTTTTATTTAGATTACGGACCAAGGTAAATTAAATAGCTATTGATAAAACAAAAAACACTAAGCAGTTGTTTTGTTCTAGTTTAATATTTCTTAATAATCAAACGCGTCGACAACTTCACTTATCTTGGAAGTCTTGTCAGCCCTAATGGGTTGGTGTCTGACGAAATCTCAGCACGGATTCAAAAAGCTCGCTTGGCTTTTGCCAACTTACGTCATCACCCATGACGAAGAAGAGATAACCGTCTTTCAATCAAGGGACGAGTATACTGCGCAGCAGTTTGCTCTGTTCTACTTTACGGCTGTGAAACATGGCCATTAAGAGTAGAATATACACATAAGTTACTAGTATTTGATCAAAGATAACTTAGAAATATTGCTCGGATCTGATGGGATCACCAGGTATGTAAAAGTGAGGTTAGACACAAGGTGTTAGGGAATGATGGTAAATCAGTTGATGAGGTGATGAATCTTCATCGACTGAGATGGTTGGGGCACATGTTGTTACGTATACCTAAACACTAACTACCACGACTAGCAATGCTGACTAGTGTTGGGGATTGTTGGAAGAGTGTCAGGGGCAGCCAAACCAAAATGTGGCTTCAGAGTTTGAAGTCACTAACTTCTAGTTTCAGCCATGTTATTAGATACAGACTTCTTAATTGGTGTCCGCGTGACTATCGTAGCCAATGATTGGAGACTCTAGGTGACATGGTTCAGAATCGATCACAATGGCGTAGGTGTATACACTATCTTTCCTTAAACCCTAAGATTAAAGTTGCTTCATATCTGTCTTCCTTCTTATACTATATCCTTATATACAGTCTTTCTTTTACATATTACCATCACTAAGTTAACTGCTTCTATGAATCCTGTGTTCATCTTGTTGGGCTAACGAGATATGGAAACTTGGACCGATGAATAGATGTGCCTGGTCCTATGTTGTAGCTGACTGACTGACATTCATGATCTTACCGAAGATCGAAACTAAGGACTTCAAATCTTACGATGAACGCTTGATCTTTCGACTATTCAAACGATATCCAGTACTTTCTGTTTTTATTTAAATTTATAACTAACTTAGGTTTATTTGTATTCCTGATAGCACTCAACAGTGATCATAAACCTCTATACTTTTTATTCCTGACAGATATCAACTCATTTCTGTACAATAATTAAACCAATATATAATGAGAGTAATCAAGATTTAAAATTGAATGAATTTATTATAATAAACCCTAATGAGAATCTGATCAGTGGTCATTCAACTAAATCAATTACAATCGATATTTGTCCAAAATCAAAAGGAAGCTTTTGTTTTCATTTATTCTATCGTTTATATACTACTAATGAATTTATTAGTAATCAGAAAAATAATAATAAAATGATTGATGGAAAAAACAGTAAATCGGGTTTGTTTAAATATAAATACAATTAAATTGCTTTTTTTATTTAATTGAAAGCATGATTCAATTGAAGCTAAACCACTATGGTGAACCTGGGAGCACTGGAAGACAGTTTCCTACTAGTGTGAGGCTCCTCAGCAGTGTGCATCCACGATCCCGCCTCTCAAGGTTCGAATCCAGTAGTCCCAAAATAGGACGAAACGGCCATCTAGTGCTTCCAGGTTTTCCATGGTTGTCTAGCTTCACTTGACTTATGATTTCAACCATATAAAAAAATTACTAAAATCTCCATAAAATCCCCTTCTGACAATTAAATTGTGTTTAAAATTAATTATGCTACTGAATTATTTCTTTTATTTGTTATATTTAAAGGTTCAGAAACTTAACCAGTTTCCAATAATAATAACGTTGATTTAGTCAGCAGTAGTTTGATATATCATTTACAAATTTAGGTTAAACAAGAATGATATTATTAGAAGGGGTTATTGTGGAGATTTTAGTAAGTTTATGGTTGAATTCATGAGTCAATTGAAGCTAGACCACCATGGAAATCTTGGAAGTACTGGAAGATAGGTATAGAAGATTGAAGGGAATTTTGTTAGCATGTTCAGAAGGTAAACAAATTGTGTGAAGACAATGGTGGACGGTTGCTCAATATCGTGGATTGGTTAAAGTAAGACATTAACACAGTTTGATGCCGACTCACTGGTTTAGAGGTTAAGCGCACGCGTGCTAGACTGATAAGTCCTGGTTTAATGTCCCGTGTGCAGGACCGTGGATGCGCACTTTTAAGGAGTCCCATGATAGGACGAAGCGGTCGCCCAATGCTCCACGGTTTTCAATGGTGGTCTAACATCAGTTGATTCATGATCTCAATCAAATGCATGAAACGATAGGTATAGAATATTTAAGGCAATTTTGTTAGCATGTTTAGAAGATAAACAAGTTTTATGAGTGAAATTCCTCAGTTTGCTAGTTATAATCTAATTAATAAACAAAAATGTGGAAAAATGTAGAAATTTTCAGTTTGTTTCTGTAACGGTGAAGCAGATGAAGATCAACTATTAACTCATAGAAAACAAAAGTCAAGTTAAGGGATATCAGTTAGCATCGCTCCTTCCAGTTGATCAAGCTGAACGCATTCATTGCATCTCTTATCTATCAAGCATGTGGTGTGCTACCATTCTACGATGGACGTTCCCTATATCCAAAAAACGTAGATGTAGTTTCTTGGAATAAACGGTTGAGGAACAGCCAGTCATTCATCACTTTAATCTTTCGTAGTAAAAACGGGAGTGATCAATAATGTATGTATCAGCACTGAATCCAAATGAATACAGTTAGTTAATATCAAACAGGAAAAAATGTACATTCCAGAGATCACTAGAAGCTTAACATCACGTTTACTAAAACGTATGGCATAACGCTATATCTAGGTAATACACTCATGATCCATGTAAATAAACAGGGACTACTAAATCACTTACTTACTTACGCCTGTTACCCTATGGGAGGAACAGTCCACAATATCAATATGGAGAAGTTATAAACCCTTACTATTCATTCTATCTATCATACAATGTTTATTCTTTTTTCATTAATTTTTCTTATCAATTAGATGGTACACGTAAATATCTAACCGAAGAGATATTAGCTGCAACAATATTTGTTGAAGCAGTTTATCCTACTTTACGAATTACTGATATCCATGGTTCAGGAAGCCTGAATAATACTAGTCCAGTGGAACTTTGGCGAAGTTTGGATATAGACAGGTTTGTGTTTATTGTTCATCAATATAAATTTTATCATGACGAGTATTTTAAATTGTCTTTTGGTACAGCAGGATGAAGTTACCAAGATAAAACTAAGAGGATTTAGATTAAGAATTTAAATGCTGATCAGATTAATATTCATTCTTTTGATGTCTGCCGCTGATCGCCGGAGCTGCTTGTTCCTTGATCTTCCGCTTTTTCGTTTCATTTCAAAATTCCAAGTAAGGTCTTGCCTCGTGATGCAGTATGAAGGTTTCCACAGTATATGTCCCACCCACCACCTAAACCATCTTTTTTCTAATTTCGTCCTCAGATGAAAACTGGTTTGTTCTTTTCCACTGTAGGTTGTTGCTGATAGTATCCGGTCAACGGACATTGAGTATCATATGTAGACAAATGTTGATAAATAAACGTACATTTTTGATGATGGTTGTGGTAGTTCTCCACGTTTCAGCTCCGTACAGTGGGACTGACTGTCTCCACGTTCGTATTGAAGATTCTCACTTTCATATTGGTTGACATTGTTTCGAGTTTCAAATGTATTCAACTGTAGGAATGCTGTCGTTCCTTTCCCAATCATTGCATTTACGTCTACATCCTGTTTTGTTTATAACAATGTCCTCAATGTTGTAATAAATAAAAATCCATTTTAGTCATTATGTAATATTGTAACATGTGTTATCAGCAAATCCCAAAAAGGTGGTGAAGACCTGAAACCATTAGACGCAATTTTAATCAAGAATTTCACATCATGAGAGAACACGAAGTGGAAGTCAATGAGTCTTTTATTTTCAAAATCAAAATTCGCGGTGGGGGATGTACAGAGGGAAAAGCCAGTTTAAAAAATAGTCTTATGAATCATCTTTTAAGTTCAGTGTATGTAGGGCTTGCCCATCTTCCTCCAAAGAGTTTATCATTGCTCTCCCTGCAATAGAAAGAAAATAGAATCTGTTAGCATGGTCAAACATGGCGATTTCAACTCCGTTACAATATATCCATTTCATAACAGTGATTCATAGTGTGTACCTTGGTTAATTTATAATTTTCATAATTGAAATCATGAGTCAATTGAAGCTAGACCACCACGGAAAACCTGGAAGCACCGGACGGCATGTTTTTCCTATTATGAGACCCCTCAGCAGTGCGCATCCACGATCCCACCTCGCGAGATTCGAACCCAGGACCTACAGGTCCCGCGCAGAGCACTTATAATTATCTTGTTACTATTTTAACTGATCACTCACAAATTTATTTCACGGCTTATTCTATTTTCATTACTCTATAGTCTGAATATTAGTTTAGAAGCTGATCCAACCGACTATGAATTAAAAGATACAATCAATAGTCGTCCACTTTATCGAGATCATCCTAAATCGTTAGATTGTCGTGGACCAGAATTTGATTTATTCATTGGAACATCAGTTATAGCTAAGAATGATGAGATTAATAATTCTAAAGCATTACTATGTTTTCTAGTGGAAAATTCAAGTTTGATAGAAGTTGATTTCGCTTTTATGTTTCCGGAAGATTTACGTCTTGAACTACCTAATTGGGCAGAAAGTGGACATTATGAAGAAGCTGAACTTCAACAAGTAAGTCAATCTTTAAATCTAAGCTCACTTATATTTAACATTTGTATTTGTAAAGATAATAGTCTCATTTCTTAAAATTGGTCAGTCAGTCAGTCACAACGTTGATCTTCCTACGTACGTACATCACTTCGAGTTGCCATACCACATTACCACCGAAATGCAGTGGTCGATTTAAATCCTATAGTTGTAGAAGTAGTAAGAGTATAAGCATTAATGGGAAAGATTAGGATTTGAAGATGCTATCGAAGGAGCATAATCCAAGGAAATAAATTTGAAAGAGAAAAAAGAAAGATGAAGAATTCAGCAGATTAGAATTTGGGAGAACACAAAGTGTGGATTCACCTTCGCCATTGCAAACGATTTTGAGCCATTTCATTCAAGGTCTCTAACTATCGATTGCTATCATCTCATGGATCCCAACCAGGTAGTCTACACCTACAACATGGCTCAGTCCACTTGTCAGTGACTTCATGGATATGTGCCACGTTTTGGTCTGGTCACCCCTAGCTTTCTTCCAACCTACTCGTACACCATAAAACGTTGCAAGTCGAGGCAGTCGGTGGTTGGGCATACGTAACACGTATCCCAGCCATCTCAACTGATGAAGTTTCACTACTTCATCAATCGATTTGCCATCCTTACCTAGTACCCGTTCCCTAACAACTGGTCCCAGGATATACAAGCAAATCTTTTGCTGTGAAACAAGAATTGAACATCTAGTTTTATGTACAACTCAATGTTACGTGTAAATTTAAATAAATATCTAGATTGTGAGTATGGAAATTTACGGAGATCGTAGTATTTTCCGTGTCAGGTGTGAAACAGTTATCCACTTCATACAATCGATGAAGCTTTGCGTAGTATCATAGATTGATTGAAGTTAAACCGTAACACCGTTGTATGCCGGCTTAATGGTCCAGAAGTTAAGCGTTTGCTGGCGAGAACGAAGGTCCTGAGTCCGAATCCCACGTGTGGGGTCGTGGATGTGCATTTCCGAGGATTCTCGTACTAAGACAAAATGGTTAGTTAGTTGTCCACGGTTAACTTATTCAACATAATACTCCTATTTACTTGGTTTTAAGTAAAAGTAAACTCTGAAAATAAACATTAATAGGGTGATTTAAGAGATTTCATTAAGGTATTCAAATACTACTGAAAAGATAAAACAGTAAAAACGTTTAAAGGGATTATCTTAAATAACGTCTTACTTACTTACTTACGCCTATTACTCCCAATGGAGCATGGGGTTAGCGACCCCATCCCCAAGAAAATTTAAATAACGTCAATAAAACCAATATAGATTAACTATATAGTTTAACTTTAATCACTAGAGAGTATAAGAGATTTGCATTATCCATATTTGGTACTCTTTCATAATATTCCCTTATAAACTTATATCGGATCAAACTGGGAGTTATTATATTCCACAAGTGTATATTGATAACATTAAACTCACGATTTAAAACCCAGTATTTCAAATATTTCCATAGCAACCATTTTGTAATATTTAGGGATTATTATGTAGATGGCGTCGAGTTGCGATTGACTATGATCACCATTACAATGAGATTACGAGCCTAAAAACGACTTGGTCCCTTTGATAACTCGCAAACCAGAAGACTATAACTGGTCCAAATAGAGTATATTTATTGGCCATCTCGTGGTATTGAAAGAATATCGAGACGTGCCAATGAGTATAGGCAGTAAGGACAGAGCGTAAGAAAGTTCGAACCGAACAAGACGGATAGCGGAATGAGGAGTGACTTTGATACAGTTAAACAACAACAATCACAAAACAATCACTGGTACAATTGGTTATAATAATAACTGTTTCCATTATTGCAATTGTGTTCTCGTCGAGAAATGCAGGTCACCTAAATTATTCTATAAAGCCTCATTCGATAGGGTTAAAATTGGCCACCAGAACTTTATATGATGCATCTTGGGTCTTATTTATTCATTTATTTATTTACTCAAGCTTTCTTTCTCCTTAATCAGATGTATCTATTTAGAACTGGTATATAATTACTGTATAATTATGCATAAACATTCAACAGTGGAATGCAGGACGCGCGTTTCGTCCTATTTGGAACTCGTCAGCTGCATGTACCTGCATCTCAGAGTTGATGTTCACTCTGGTACTCTAACCAAGTACTGTTCGTTTCAAATGCAATCGCATTATCCACTTCACTACTGAGTCCTGATAGGACGAAACGTGCAACCTAGATTCCACTGCTAGCCACCATCCATCTTTGTTTATAAAGCTTGTGACTTCAGTTATGATCGAAGCAGTCCGCATAGGATGCACATATGCCAACAAGAGACTGATCAATTGCAGTCCTAAATAACAATGGGAAGATACAAGTCAACAACACCAATGTGAATATTCAACAAATTTGGAAATAATGATTATTTTCTCTTTACGATTTCTAGTTACATATTGAAAATCATTCATTAATTGATATTCAACCAAGACGACGTTTGTTGAAGCCTGGAGAATACTCTGAAATTATGATCACGTATAATCATAATTTATCTGGTTGTCATCAATTGCCAGTAATTTGGAAAATAAATGGTGGTCGAGAAATTAAGGTGAATAATTTAGTTTTTTATTAAAATTATAAACATTAATTATTGTATATAGCAGTAGCCACTGCATCAATAGGCCTCAACATACACAAAGGAAAAATCAAGATCCCCAAATACAATACGGTGGCCCCTAACTCAATCACACTTGATGGGGAAACTATGGAAGAGTTGGAAACATTCACGTGCCTGGGAAGCGAAATCGATGAACAAGGAGGATCGGATGCAGATGTAAAGACGAGGATTGGCAAAGCAAGGACAGCATTTCTACGATTGAAGAACATATGGAAATCAAAACAACTGTCAACTAATTTCATGGTGAGAATCTTCAATACGAACGTCAAGACAGTTCTATTGTACGGAGGTGAAACGTGGAGAACTACTACAACCATCGTCAAGAAGGTAGAAGTATTTATAACTAGTTGTTCACTAAAAATACTCAACATTCAGTGGCCAGATACTATCAGCAACAGCGTTTTATGGGAGAGGACAACCCAGCTTCCATCTGAAGAGGAAATTAGGAAAAGACGTTGAAAATGGATAAGACATACATTAAGAAAATCACCAATGTGCATCACGAGGCAATCCCTAACTTGGAATGGTGAAGGGAAGCGAATAAGAGGAAGGCCAAAGAACACATTACGCCGAGGAATAGAAGCACATATGAAAAGGATGAGTAGTAACAGGAAAGAACTTGAAAGGATTGGCTAGGACAAGATGGAATGGAGAATGCTGGTGAGCGGCCTATGCTCCTCGACGAGGGGTAACAGACGTAAGTAAGTAATTGTTGTGTATCAGACGTAAAGTTCATAGCATTTGGATATGAAAGCTGGATTACCGAATCAGTTAGCTTTGCTACTTTAAGTTTATATTATTTCTGTGTGCTTCATTTATCAAATTACTGTTAATTCACCAATCTTTTCAACAAATATACAAACTTGGTTATCAAATTACATGAAAGAAACTTGTAGACAATTACCATTGAATTTGTATACAGTTTCCCTAACTCAATATGGTTTTTCATAATGATATGGATAAAGAAATTTCTCAAAAACTTAATTTCTCAGTGATTACGGATAGTCAATCAACCACTGCAGTGCACAAGTGATCACTCATATCCGATGTTTTCACCAATGCAAAAGCTTAATGATTGTACAGGCCTTGAATAAATTTTAGTCTGTATGGCTATTATTGATCAGTGGTTCTAGAGGTTAAGCGTTCGCGCGCGAGACTGATATGTTCTGGGTTCGAATCTCGCGAGGCGGGATCGTAGAGAGATGGCTGTTATTGAAACGGTTAATTCACTTGAAAAGAACAGTTTATTTCAGTCCATTATCTTTAAAAGTAAATATTTGTGATCAGTCAGTCAGTCAGCTACAATGTAGGACCAGGCACATATATGTATCGGTCCTAGTTGCCATACCTCGTTAGCACAACAAGATGAACACAGGATTCATAGAAGTAGTAAATTTAGTGGTGGTAATATTTAAAACATAGGTTGTATATAAGAATATAGTATATGAAGGGAGACATATGAAGCAATTTTAATCTCAAGGTTTAAGGGAAGATAAAGACTGTATACACCTACGCCATTGTGATCGATTCTCAGTCTTCACACAAGGTCTCCAACCATTGGTTACGATAGTCACGCGGACCCCGACTAAGTAATCTGCATCTTCCAACATGGCTCAGACTAAAAGTTAGTAACTTCAAGCACTGATGCCACGTTTTGGTTTAGGCTCCCTAAACTCTCTTCCAACCATCTTCAATACTAGTCAGCATAGCGAGTCGTACCAATTGCGTTTCGTTTCCATTATTTCCTTATCTATGTTTTACTGAAATACATTCTCAGCCTTGACCATCATTATATATACTACTTAAGTGAATGTGAGCAACCCACACCACAGTTTTCATTTTACTAATTATCTTCTTATATTTTCACCTTTTTTCTTTTTCTATTAGTTAAATATGATTGGTATTACATTACCATTAAATCAACCTTATTTACAATTACCTTATCGTAAATATATATTGAATCCAACTCCAATTGGTTTAGGAGATTATCGTTTAGGTTATTTATTTCAAATGAAATTAAAAAATCCTAGTTTAAAAACAATCCATTTTCATATTAGTCCATTACTTAAATGGTTACCAAGGGAACAAAAAGATAAAGAATCTAAGAAATCAGAACTAAATGAGAAATTTTTAGAATATAATTTATCTATCCTTTATTGTGTACAAAATCAAGGATTAATTAAACCAAATGAGGTGTATGCATTAGAATGGAGATTTCGTCCTATAGAAGCTAAAACTTATACTGTAAGTTTTTTGTGATTTAGTAGTTGGTACTAATTATTATTGTAAAGATAATGTTGTCTAAAATAAAGTTATCCTTTGTTAGGATATAACGAATTACTTACTTACATACTCCTGTTACCCTTCGTGGAGGAGCATAGGCCTCATACTAGCATTCTTCATCAAACCCTGTCCTGGGGAATCCTTTCAAATTGTTAGAAAGGATATCAGCCTCTCGGCTTTCATCATGATGAGTCATAAGTATTCCTTGAACTTGAAGGGCAGATTTTAAATGGTTTGAATTATTTTTTTCTGGTTAACGTTTTTTTTTTAGCGAGTTAGTTTTTCTACGGGATTGGGTCGCTAACGTCATGCCCAACCCTCCTCCTTCTTGTAGGCTTGTGACATGCAGTAACCTCCGAAGGGTCATGTGATGAATAAGATAAAATATGCACCCACATACACTTACATAAAAACAGTCAAAGTTAGGTAAGCGAATAATTGACATCAAAATGTGACTCAAGATGTATGAATAAATTGACTTGTCCGAAAGCTGGAAAAAACTATGTGAACTTTACATAACAACCGACAGTACAAGATTTATTATCTATGAGAAAATAGTAAAACACCGAATTAAGTCTATTATTCTAGAGGCAATATTGTCTGACATGAAAAATAAATGCGAAGCATTAGTAACTGCTTGACGATGAATGATAAGTCTTTTGAACTAGAATTAAGCTCTTTAGTATACTGCAGTGCCGCGATTCGTTAATCGTTCGTTTCGATAACCGATATAATTCTAATCTTAACGACGCGTAAAATCAGAAGACAAAGGATAGCAGCAACTACAGTTTATTGTCGAATAACTCAGGTCAGAAAGTTAGCAACACCTGAGCGAATAATAACGAGCGAGTGAACAGGCGAATAAGCGAAGGAAGCGAACGAGGCGGAAATGACATGCAGTGGAAGATGGCTGGTAAGCCAACTCGAGAGCGAGGCGAAAGATAATGCGTACTGGAGGTGGCTGGGATGCCAACTCGATTTGAGCAAGCGTTAATCAACATTTATAGTCGGACAAAAATGAGTGACAGACATATGATAAATGATATACGAAGTGTACACATATACGCTCATATAAAAGTATAGTCAAGGTTAATAAGCGAATAATGAACAAGATCAAAATATGACTCATGACAAGCGAATTGGCTTGGCCAGTAGCTAGGATAAAGTATATGGGCTTAACAAATAAACTGATACTACATATGGTCTGTGATGCTGATACTACAATACAATTAAAGAGAGGAATGCACATTATTTCATACAATGATCTTTAAGCACGAACATCCTAGAGCTATCATAACACACTAAAAATAACATCACTCATGTATAAAACTTTTAAGAATTAAAGAAAAAACGAAATATTTTATTCTAATATATTGGTTCGGTGAGACTATAAATTATGGACGAGCCAATCAGAAGCATTTGAGGGATTTCAAGGTCACGGCGCCAATTTCAGTACCTCATGCTCATGTACGATTGGTTTACAGAGGCTTTTAAAGAAGACTTGACAATTAAGCGGCTACAACAAATAAGACTTCTAGGAAGTTCCTGTATTTGTAATTGCGGTAATCAAATGACTTGTAGATCTTGAGCAGACTACCGTGATGTTGTTCTTTGATGTAATATATGATGAAAGAAGACGTTTGCTAGTATAGGAACATTTATCGCTTGATCCAGATTGAGACCAAGGCATATTATAATAATTGCAGCCAACTGTATATAATAAAAGCACCTGTAACGTTGGCTGCAATAATCGCAGATGTTACTGAAGCTGCTGCTGTTCAGCGGTATGAGTGTTGTGAGGACATATCCATCATGAAAATGATAAACTTACACAACGGTAGTACACAAAAACAATATTAAAGCTGTGTGGTCGAAGCTAAAAGAGTTTATGCGACCCTATCATGGCTCCAGAGACCAACTATTATGGAGCCATATGGATGAGTTCGTCTATCTTGTGCATTACGATTTTGGAACCTGACTGTTTACTGATTGGCTAACATTTCTCAGGGTCACTTAAGATTCGTTCAAAGGTCGTCCATAAATTATAGTCTCACCATTGGTTCTTATCGTTATCAATCCGACCAATGAATATTGATATTGATACTAGATAATATTGTAGTGAACTACAACGCGAGTGGGGACAATCGAATGTATCTAAGCACGAATTACAGAATATCTCACTGAAATCTGATCACCATACAGTAAACAGTTAATTTGCAGAATAAAAATCAATTAACTCAATCTTGACTGTTCCTTCTGCAAATATCAGTCCACCTTCTCTAATTTCATTGTTCATGCATTTTCATACTGATTGCGCTTCATTCCTGTTCTTTCCTTATCCATCCTCTGCCAAAATACATTCCATGTCTGACCATCACCATATACTACTTATATGGATATAAGTATACCACGCCACAATATGACTTAATACAGGATTGATAAACCAGATCACTAGACATATATCTCAAGCACTCGAATATCAGATAAACGATTTTAATCTTGATCAACATCTTTCATTTCAATGTCAGATTACTGATGACAATCTGTAGGAATCCTTGAACCCGATACTTATCAAAATTATGGATAGATCTTGATAATCTACGCCTAACCAGTGTATGAAATCAAAGTCTTCGACTTTCTGTGAACTTCCTATATATATTGTCATTACTTATTTTCTAATAATATGTAATATAATAGATTGTATAAATTCATTTAGTATTGTTTGTTCGAGTCCCAGTTTGAACATCAACAAGTCTGAGATGCAGGTACATCCAGCTGACGAGTCCCAAATAAGATGAAACGCGCGTCAAACTGGATTCCACTGCTAGCCACTATCCATTTTTGCTTATAATAGATTGTATGTTTATCATATATTGAAAAATTTATTAAATTTTTTTAGGCTTATTGTTATATTCACATTATTGATGCTGAAGTGTCACCAGTTACTGGTCAGTCAATCTATTCTGATACTATTCTATTAGAATTAATAGCAATTGGATATGATCCAAAACAATTGGGACCTAAAGAAATCATAGCCAATCCACAACGTGTTCGAATTCCCACAGCTATTGAAGTAACTGTCTATATTAATTTTAGATGTTTTTTTTAACAACTTAAAGTACATATGCATTCTATGTTTTGTAAGTTTTTTTTTTGAAAGGGGTTGATTTTTTGTGTACTTTGATTGATAATACCTAAGATTCTTGACAAATACTGAATTTAAACAGAGAATACTGGATAGAATAAGTAAGATGGTGGTTGGAGGTGGTCATCAGGGAACCCTGGACCAGGGTTTTGTTCTACTTGGCACTCGTCAGCAAGGTGTACCTGTAATCTTGAGGGAACTAGTGCTCCCTGACGGATTCAATTCCGTGTCACTCAACTTCACAGTCAGAGACGTTAACACTGAGCACGCAGTGTCGAACCACCTAAACTAGTGGCCATATTGCAACTTGATCGATAGCATTCGATCAGCACTAAGAAGGACATGACACGCATGACATTGATCACCACCCAGTGATCAATCAAATGACAAAAAGTGAATTAATTAATATGAGTATCAATTTTCATCAACTTAGGTGGTTTGATCATGTGTGAACCATCCTTAACTATGTACATTATTCAATGCTTTCTGGCACGGAATTAACTTAAAAAACAGTTACTAATGGTAACATGAGTGTATGTCATCAATCCATGAAGTTAGTAATTGCTGGTCTGAGCTATGCACGTAGGTCCAAATGTTTTAGTCGTTGTTCATGCACACTTGTAATCAGTGTTTGAAAACGTTAGATGACTTGGTACAAAATCGATTCCAATGGTACAGTTGTAATATTCTTCTACTTCCGAATCGTCAGATGGGAAACATCCCTAAAATTTTGTTCTTCAAAATTTTCAGTTTATTGTCAACCGTTCTCCTAAAGTTTAGGTCTTCAAAGCATTTAATACTATTTCCCTATTTTTGCTTTTTGTTTTGATAATTTCCTTTATTACAATGTTAACGTAGTTTACGGTAACTTGGAGTAGTATGTATATTCGTGACAATCCCTAAATAGATTATTAACATCTGACTGACTATTTCATCATTGTAGATGACTTAACTGTCTATAACTATGTAGGCAAATAATTCAGTTGATCTCCAGAACTTTACTTTTTTACTTTACTTACGCCTGTTACTCCCAATGGAGCATAGACCGCCGACCAGCATTCTCCAACCCACTCTGTCCTGCCAATTCCTTTCTAGTTCTATCCAACTTTTTTTTCATCCTTCTCATGTCTGTCTTCATTTCTCGACGTAATGTGTTCTTTAGTCTTCCTCTTCTCGTTTGGCCTTCAGAATTCCATGTGAGGGCTTGCCTTGTGACGCAGTTGGGCGGTTTCCTCAATGTGTATCTTATCCACTTCCAACGCTTCCTCCTGATTCTTCCTCAACTGGAATCTGGTTTGTTCTCCCCTACAGTAGGTTGTTGCTGATAGTGCCTGGCCAACGGATCCGAAGTATTTTGCGTAGACAACTCTTAATAAACACTTATACCTTCTGGATGATGGTTTTCGTAGTTCTTCACGTCTCCACCCCATACAGTAGAACTGTCTTGACATTTGTATTGAAAATTCTGATCTTGGTGTTGGTTGACAGACAGTTGTTTTGAGTTACAGATGTTCTTCAGTTGTAACTATGCTGCTCTTGCTTTGCCGATTCTCGCTCTCACTGATCTCCATAAGATTGGTAATTAATTGTTTTGGTTCTAGTCTAATAAGATAATAAAATAAAGTTCTAAAAGTTACGCCTTTATAATGCAAAAGATATATGATTCGGAAACACTTCGTAATTATAACATCATAACATCAACATGTTAGAGACAGACAGTCAATCAATATTATTCACAGCATAATCATGAAGAGATAAGTTATCCCAATGCTGATAATTCATAATTATACAAATTTACCCTTTTAGGCCAGGGCAAGTTTATGTTGGTTTTCAGGAGAACCAGACGCTATCCAGGCTTTAACACTATAATCTGAACAACAGCTCAACTCTGTGACACAACTACACAGGTACTCAACACCCTATGTCCAATATTGATAAGACTGACTTAGTTTGAACCAGTGCTAGTTAGCAAATATATGTTCCTGTGTAGATTGTTTCTGTACAGCCAATTTTCGTTATAGTGATTAAATATCATATCTTTAGCACGAGTGAGTGATTATCTGTATTCAGTAGCTCAGTGGATAACGCACTGGATGTTTGAAGAAAAATGAAAAGATTTTCATTTTGTTTGTGAATATCAACATTGGGATGATGATGCATTCAGCTAACGAGTCTCAGATGTGATGAGACACTCGTACTGGATCACACTGGTAGCCATAATCCATCTAAACAATGAACTCATGCACTTTTATTCGAAACATCAGTTTTCAAATGATCCACATGTCTACGACTATCACGAAACTTAGGACCTAATGATAAAACCTCTAGTTGAGTCCTATCGCGATTAATCGAGGAAAAGTTAAAAACATACAATCATTGGAGAATTTTAGAGTTATTTTGTGAGACCGCACTGCCTATGTCTTATTTGGCAACAGCACCCCATATTGGACATTTTTGTAATTATCTTGAGAGATTTTGTCTAATTTCATCATCATTTTTATGTTTAGCAACCGCTGCTCGACAATTGGTTGATTACTGGGTGATGATCAATGTCATGCGTGTCAAGTCCTTCTTAGTGCTGATCGAATGCTATCGATCAAGTTGCAATGTTGCCACTAGTCTATATGGCTCGACACTGCGTATACTATGTTGAGATAAGATGGTGGTTGGAGGTGGTCAGCAGGAAACCCTGGACCCGGATTTCGTGCTACTTGGCACTCATCAGCAAGCTTTACCTGTAATCTTGTGGGAACTGGTGCTCGCTGACGGATTCGATCCCGTGTCACTCAGCTTCACAGTCAGAGACGTTACCACTGAGCTATTCGGGCCACAACCGACCTCCTGTAGGACTGATATGTAATCACAATTGGTTGTTCACTGGGTGATAATCAATGTCATGCGTTTCAAGTCCTATTCGAGCATTTGCCTAACAAATCATAGATAGAGAGGCTCTCAACAAACCAACTAAATTTCTTGCTGATTTCATTCTATTCTTTTTATATAAATAATACGGTATAATATTCATCTTATCTCACAGAATCATATAATCTCTTTGGATCGTAATCCACAATCAATAATTAGACATAATGATGATGATATTGATGAAGGTGAATTGACTTTTCGAAATTTTCCACCACTTGCTCGACGAATTAAAATTCCAATTGATTCATGGATTAGCTTATCACATCATTTAATTGAATTAAATCGTATTATTATTGGTACATGTTGTAGACGTATAATTCATATGACAAATAGATTTAGTTCTGATATTAATCGATTACCTGTTAATAATCGTTCAATTTATCGATTTCGATGGTTTACTGAATTTCCAAATGATACGGAGGTAAGTAAATCCTTTTTTTTATTGATCTTGGTAGACACGGAAAGTTCACCTAGGGGAGTTGGAAAAACCCTGATTCCAAACCAATGGTCAACATGGGCTCCAGTATCCTGAAGGAACAAATGGCGTATGAATCAATCGTCGGTCACCGGCTATCATGGGACTACATCTCCTTACGATGCTCCACTACCTTATGGATCGGATCTTTAGGTCAACGGCTTCGAGTGTGGTCCTTTAAGAAAACCACCTGCTTCAGTTTGGTCACCCGGGCAGTATCATAGCCCTCACACAAATCAAATGAGATTAGTGTGGCGCATATGTGCCTGGTGCTTCCTCGTACCAATATTTATATGCTTAAACAAATAAATAAATAAATTTTTACTGAACTTAAAAGCTCATTCAAAATTAGCTTACCATCCTGACACAACGATAAATCACCTCAAGCTCTTATGAAATCTCAACATGACAAGATGAAATAAACATGATTAGTAAAAGTCGAAAGAATAGTAGAATCAGTGTTAGTGATAAAGATTAAACATTGGCGAATCCTTTTTTTAAAAGTAGAAACAAATTTGAAGAATATCATCATTTTTGGACGTTCTAAAATGTTCTCAAGTTTGAAGACCTAATAGTGAGGGAGTATTTGATTTATGTGGTCACGTTGGTGTACCGCAACAGCCTGGTTTCACCGGATTTGGTGACTATGAGCCCTAGCTAAGCACTGGATAATTATTGAAGTCGATATTTTAGACCACGCATTAGTCAAATTGATTCCTCACTTTTTATTGCAAGATGACATCCGTTCTTTCTTATAAACTGTCATATTGTGGTATGGTTTACTTATATCCATATAAGTAGTGTATGGTGATGGTCAGACATAGAATGTATTTTGGCAGGAGATCGATAAAGAACGAAGAGGAATGAATGTATGGTTATCAGAATTTAGTGAGATAGTTTTTAATTTTGTCCTTAAATGTATTCGATTGTCCCCGGTCGTGTTCTTGTTTACTACAGTATGTGGTCAGTCAATCAGTTACAACGTAGAACATCGTAGAACAGTATGTGGTGGTATTCAGCTTTAAGACTTGAGCTAATATATCAATAAACCTAACTGCTAAAACTAGATCAGTATCACTGGAGAATTTTAGAGTTATTTTGTGAGGTCGCGCTGCCTCTGTCTAACTTGGCGACAGTACCTCATACTGGACACTTTTGGACAACCTTAGCTATGAGATTTAAATGCCCAAGATTTGGTCTCTGGAAGGGTTGTGGGTTAACATTGTCAGAAACTATTATACTAGAGTAAGACAAGTGTCCATGCGCTCTACTAGTACCCCAAATGATATTTTTAAATTTGTTATTCGAATTAAAAAAGGTGACAGTTAACTCATTAAACAAACGGTTGGTAAACATTAGTGTCTATTTCAATAGACTTTGCTGAGCATTGGGAGTATTTATTATCTTTCATTATGGTATATTTCCCGTTATGATCAAGTTATATTTCCTGCTTCATGTATTTTGATATTAGCAGTCCACTGATAACGATTTCGTATAATCATGAATTTCATCAAATAATTATGATTATTGACTTCTTGTCTCTTATTTAAGTCCGATAATTTCATGGCCTCCTGATGTAAAGTATCCATGAAGAACATCGTCAACTATAGAGTTACTTCAAATTTGAGCTTAATTTTACTAGTTTCACCTATTATTAGTCTTTTATGTATGGGAAATTATAAGAATCTCAGTCATCAATGTATTTCTATCATTTCCATAGTTGAAATCATGAGTCAATTGAAGCTAGAACACCATAGAAAAGCTTGGAAGCACTGGACAGCCGTTTCGTCCTATTGTGGGACTCCTCATCAGTGTGCATCCACGTACCCGCCTCGAGAGATTCGAACGCAGGACCTACTACTCGGCATCCAACGGTGCTAAGTGGTCTGGCGCGAGACTGGTAGGTCCTGCTGAGGAATCCCACAATAGGATTAAACGGCCGTCCAGTGCTTCTAGGTTTTCCATGGTGGTCGAGCTTCAATTGACTGATGATTTGAACTATGGAAATACTGAAATCTCCACAAAACCCCTTCTGAGTATTTCTATCAGCTTTTTATTTTTCTCATTACCCTTAGAATGTTACTATTAGTCCAAGAATAGGAAGAATTAAACCAGGTCAAACAATTCAAGAACTTGTTACTTTTACAGCTAATGGATTACCACGTTTCACTGAGATTAAACTAATTTGTGAAGTGAGTGGTGAGAAAAAGAGGTTGAAATTCTTTATGTATATTATAAGTTTATTTTATGATTGTAATGTTTTTTTTACAGTAATAGAATCGGATCAGCAGTTTAAGACCAGAAAGACTTGATATTGGTCATTATTCAATGATTTTACTTACTTTAATTACTTACTTACGCCTGTTACTTCCAATGGAACATGGGCCAATTCAATGATCACTCAATTGTAAATATCTCAATCCTGTAGAAAGTTAATCTCGGCCCGAATAGTTTATTGGTAATGTTTAATAATGTAAAGCTAGCTGACAACGGTTTGTACTCTATAGGCAACCCTAACCTACATGGAACCTAGATTTAGGGTCGATGGTCAAATGCCTTTCCCCCCCCCCGAATATTTAAGTACAGAAAATGTTAAGTGGCGATTAACAAGGAACTATTGAACATGTGGATTTTAAGTAATTTTAGTAGACTAAATAAAACAAACGAGTGTTTTCATATCAACTTCCGGTACTCAAAAAGATAACTTAATAAACTAACCATATTCCATTCCTTAATCTAAGACTTTTTGGAGGTACTGTCAAGAAACTGTGAACATAGATTTCATGTTAGATAGCAACTGTCAGCAATTCATTTCTACAATGGTATAATATCTGATATCCTCTATGATTTTTGTTGGGATCTCTTGAGTATTTCTCCAAAAAGTCTTCCGAGGCCAGGAAAAAACTAAAACATCATACCTAATTAATATTCGGTTGAAAATTGCCAGGAAAATCTAGTACATTGATGGATTAGGTTCCACACTCTGATTGGATTATTACCTATTTCGACATTAAATTTGGCACACTGTCAGAAGTTTGCAGAAGGTTATGGTCACCCTTACTTACTTACGCCTGCTACCCCCAGTGGAACATAGACCGCCGACCAACATTCTCCAACCCACTCTGTCCTGTGTCTTCCTTTCTAGTTTTATCCAACTTTTGTTCATTCTTCTCATATCTTTTTACATTTCTCGGCGTAATGTGTTCTTTGGTCTTCCTCTTCTCCCTTGGCCTTGATAATTCCAAGTGGAGGGCTTGCTTTGTGACATAGTTGGTGCTTTCCTAAATGTGTGTCCTATCTTCTTGTAGTGAACGAGAACACATAAGTGGGGACAACCAAATTTATTATAATACAACACAAAATATCTTGGTAAAATCTGAGAACCATACAATAAATACCTTATTTGCAAAATTTTAGTCCATTATCTCACATTTTGTTGTTCCTTCGTTTCCATATCAATCAATCTCTGTTCTCTTTCTCTTTTCCTCGATCTTCTTAACGTTCTGCCTCCAGACATTCCATTTTCGATTGATGATACATACTACTTATTATCTGTCGACATCAGTAACACACACCATGATGACCAATTGATTGTCATACATACAATAAATGTTAAAACACACTTGATTAATAAGTAAACCGACAACGTTCTAAACGTGGAGAATGTTGTAGCAATGTTTATCAACTAGTAAACTAAACAGTATATGTAGTGGCTATCAGGACTCAGTGGCCGAGTGGATAACGCGATGGCGTTTGAAGCGAGGGTACTGGGTTCGAGTCCCAGAGTGAACATCAACTCTGAGATACAGGTACATCCAGCTGACGAGTCCCAAATAGGACGAAACGCGCGTCCTGGATTCCACTGCTAGCCACTATCCATCTCAGTATATGTAGTGGCTTACACGACCCCTAAAGACAGAGCAGTCAGAAGAGGTCAGAATCAATAACATATTATATTTAATGCTCTGGTTAATGTGTAGGAGCTAAAGTATTATTCAAGAATTGATTCTAGGAGCGCCGTTAACTCCTGGGCGAATACATTACTTATTCATCATTACTAAAATTATTATTATTATTATTATTACTAACCACCATCATTATTTAGTTAATCGATGAACATGAAGAGAACAAATATTATGAAGAATTAAAAGCTTGGCAATCTGAAATAGATAGATTGAAAGTTGAATTTACAATAACAGATAATGATTTAACAAAAAAGAAAACAAAATCGGAAGCTATCTCATCACAATCAGATGAGATTGATATGGATGAATTTTGTCAAAAATGGCCAAAACCAATTCATACTAAACCAGTTTATGTTTATCTTACAATCAACGCTGAAATAATTAATGATGAAGCTGCAAAAATTTATGGTGTAAACAATGAAGGAAAGACATCATTCATAGATTAGTAAGTAAAATATCTTTAATATATGTAATTTATGGAAATTAGTGTAATATACAACATATTCTAACCAGGAAGTATTGAACAGCCATTCCATCCTAGTATGGGACTCCTCAGCCGTATTCGTTCATGACCCTATCAAGATTCGAACCCAAGAGCTTAACGTCTCAACATTCTGGTAATAAACATAAGAGATACGCTCTAACCGTAGAGCTAGCAATTGGCAACTCTAGAACTAGATAACGAACACTGAGGTGATGGAGATTTATTTATTTATTCATTTAAACACATAAATATTGGTAAAGGAAGCACCGGATACATATGCGCCATATAAATCTCATTCGATTTGCTTGAGGGCTGTGATACTGCCCAGGTGCCCAGACTGAAGCAGGTGGTTTTCTTAGGGGGCCACACCCGGAGCCTTTGACCGAAAGATCTGATCCATAAGGCAGTGGAGCATCGTGAGGAGATGCAGTCCCATGGTAGCCGGTGATCAACGATTGATTCATTCGCCATTTGTTCCCTCAGGATACTGGAGCGTATGTGCACCATTGATTTGGAAGCAAGGTTTTCCAACTCCCCTAGGTGGACTCACCTTGTCCACCAACCCGGTTAAAGCGCCGGACATTGGCTTTTCGTCTTCTCAATTTCGTAAACAACACCCCCGCCACGAGAAGGCAGTGAGTAGGACTTCCCTGGCAGAGGCTATATACTCGTGGCCATGTGAAAGCATTTGGAGAGGGAGAGCGGACTCTCCTCACTCTCGGCCGTACCAGGGCATTTGGGGGCTGAGATGATCAATATAAACAACTAAGTTTACAGTATTTAACGTTTGAATAAGACCTCTGAAGAGGTACATTGGGTTGTAGTGTTGGTTGATATGTTAAGCCCATATATCCTTATTATAGCTTCAGGACAAGCCAATTTACTTACCCATCATGAGTCACATTTTCGCCTTGTTAATTATTCACTTATCAATCCTGACTGTTTTTTATACGAGCGTATATGTGTACACTTCTTATCCTAATCACCACATATCTGTAACTTATTCTTATTTGACTATAAATATTGATTAACGCTTGATAAAAGCGAGTTGGATTACACACCATCTCCAATATGCATTATTTTCGCTTCGCTCTTTCGAGTTGGCTTCCCCCCATCTCTAATGCGTGTCGTTTTTGCTTCGCTCTCATCGATTCGCTTCATTCCTATGACTTCCTGTCCAGATCAATGTGTGTACAGAATATATGTATTCGAAATCTATTCTCATGTATTACATACGAGGATAGACAGAATGTATATTTTGACAACAATCATTCATACGACCAAACTGGGAGTCAAATTCAAGCCTCCACAAAAATGGTGAGCCGCATCATTTAGAACACGCACCATCTGCTTGCAAGGTTATGTCATTATGTCACTATCTAGTTGACTATAGTTCCCAAATCCCTTTATGATGCTGTGTTAGCCTATATTATCAACACTGATTTTGGTGGAGTTTTGTTCTCTGAGCTGGATGGTTTGGTCATGGAGCTTTCATTGACCTGAACGACATCATCAGAATAAACTTCGGGTAGAAGTGAAGTATTTGATGATGTCGTTCAGAAGGACAATGAAAGCTCCATGACCAAACCATCCAGCTCAGAGAATAAAACTCCATCAAAATCACCCAACTGAGCTGCAAATCTTCTCCACCATATCAACACTAATGCTAAAACTAAAAGATGGACTATTTAGCCAATGAACTGCATGACATATTACCTAAACAGATATTCTCTTTCAACTTTTTTTAGTGCACAATTTTTTAATTCGAATCATTCAGCTGCTAAAGCATTAAGTTCCAAGAAGGTTCAAGATTCTATCTGGAGCTTACATCAACACCTATTCACTGATTTATTAACATCTTTAATAGACAGTTTAATATTTAATAATGAATTTGTACAAATGATTCAAAAAATTGTTATTCCACCTGAGAATAGAAGTGATGCATCACCATTATTGGTAACACCGCTAAACAACAATGAGATCATGATGGATGATAATGATGATGATGATCCAGTACCACTATGGATACAAATAAAATCGGATCATTGTTATAAATCTAATGAATTATCAACTAATTACAACATAAATGATATAAATAAAACAACAGATCAACTCAATCATTGGATACCTGAAATAGTTAAAGAGAAACTTAATAAACAAGATATGAAAAGTATACATGAAGAAACTGTTGATACTATGTGTATACAGTAAGTTGTATATATTTATTTTTGCACCTTTATCTTCCAGCATCCACTTTATGAGATATAAGCGGAAACTAAAATGTGAGTAAAGCGTCAGTAAGCCTCCGAAATGATCTGATACGGCCGAGAGTGAGGAGAGTCCGCTCTCCCTCTCCAAATGCTCTCACATGGCCACGCGTACACAGCCTCTGTCAGGGAAGTCCTACACACTGCCTCCTCTCAGAGGGGGTGTTGTTTACGAAATTGAGAGGACGAAAAGCGAATATCCGGTGCTTTAACCGGGTTAGTGAACACGGCGAGTTCACCTAGGAGAGTTGGAAAACCCTCATTCCAAACCAAAGGTACACATGGACTCCAGTATCCTGAGGGAACAAATGGCGTATGAACCTATTGTTGGTCTCCGGCTACCATCGGACTGCATCTCCTTACGATGCTCCACTGCCTTGTGGGTCAAACCTTTAGGTCAAAGACTCCGGGTGTTGCCCCTTAAGAAAACCACGTGCTTCAGTTTGGGCACCTGAGCAGTATCACAGCCCTCACACAAATCAAATGAGATTTGTGCGGCGCATATGTATCTGGTACTCCCTTGTACCGATATTTATGCGTATAAATAAATAAATAAAACGTCAATAAACACAATCGACTTCCTGCAATGATTAAAAACCAAACAATCTGTGCATATCATGTTTATCGTTAAAAATGGATGAGCCCGAGTATTGCCAGATTTTTTATATATAGTTGAAATCATTAGTCAATTGAAGCTAGACCACCATGGAAAACCTGGAAGCTCAACTTCGTGAATTGGTTGAAGTTATTCATTAACACCGTTCGATGCAGGCTCAGTGGTCTATTGGTCAAGTGCTCTGGCGCGATACTGGTAGGTCCTGGGTTCGATTCTCGCGAGGCGGGATCGTAGATGCGCAATGCTGAAGAGTCCCGCAATAGGACGAAACGGCCGTCCAGTGCTTCTAGGTTCTCCATGGTGGTCTAGCTTCAATTGACTCATTATTCCAGCTATATATAAAAAATTACTTTGAATTTCCACAGAAAACCCGCTATTACCAGATTTGTCTGTTAATGGTTGCAGACTTTCATTAAAATAATGGACCTACCATCATTGGACATCCGGAAGCACTGGGCTAAATTTGTATAGACAGCCATTTCCTTATTGTAGAAATTTTTTAGGGACCTGTAAAGCAAGCTGGGTAACAAGTGGTCTTCTCGACCTGAGAACTCTAACGCAGTTACTGAGAGGAAAATGCTCACAGTCAGTTACACGGCCTTTCCGTGAATCTATATTGAACTAGCCTCCCGATCTTCAGAATTGACCTCCTCTAAGATGAAGAGTACTATCCTTAGTACATGTCATTTTCAACCTTTTTTCCGTCTTTGGAAAGGTAAAGTGGTTAAAGATGTTGATTGCCCGTTGAAGGTTTCATGCTGAAATGACACTCCATTTCAAGTGCGATACAGCCCTGACCTTATATTTGGTGCTTTTAGTCTTACTACTCTCTAGCCTACCTACCTGGTGAGATGCGACTTCAATGAACTGATTCAACTTGACTGGATCATCACGATAAACAAGCCTAACTAGTGTTAAGATCACGTTTACAGTCAGAACATAATTTACTTAACATCCAATCTAAATTACTGATTATAAACTAAGAGCCTATGAATGGTGATCATTTGTTCCTAGCTTAGTACTAATCAGAATACATCAGATTAAATTTAAGATGAACGTCACACCATTGAGTCGGGATTCAGTGATCCCATATACTTTTTCAACCAACTTTTGATTAGATGCTGAATTCTCAAGCAACTAATCCAATGCTCCCCGATTTCAAATGATTACCCAGCTAATGTAAAAACACGTAATTACATGTTACGCATAAATTTTACAACCTTTTCCTCTCCCCCCTCCTCCTTTCTACCCAATCATTTTAGGAATCCGGCTATTCAATGGTTAATTGAAGATGCTTTAGCTGGTATATTAAGTAATATTTTGGATGAAGTCAATGAGAAAGAATTTGAAATAACTACTAGACCTAGAATAATCGCACTACCACCGACAACATTACAGAACAAATTGGAAGATAAATAAATGAACTACACTATGGATTTCAGTAGTCTTGGAGTTTTCTATGAAACGTGAAATGGAACACAGACTAATTTTCATGTATAATTAATGTTTTACGTAGTGGATGAAAAGAATGTGAGCTTGACTACAAGATTTTTTCATGTAAACAACAAGACATTGTTTAGGACAAATTGATTATTTTTAAAAGTTTACATTGCATTACATATTTGCATCGGTCCAAGTTGCCATACCTTGTTCATCTTGTTGTGCTAACGAGGTATGGCAACTTAGGCCGATGCATACATGTGCCTGGTCCTATGTTGTAGCTGATTGACTGACGGCAGATTAGAGTAACTGTAGAACCTCTCACATTACTGTTTGTTACTCTTGTTTAAAAAAAATAAAGATGCAAAGGTAACAACAAAGCAATTCTCAAATTTACTACATAATTGAAAGCATGAGTCAATTGAAGCTAGACCACCAGGAAAAACCTGGAAGCTCTAGACGGCCGTTTCGTCCTATTGTGGGGCTCTTCAGCATTGCGCATCTACGATCCCGCCTCGCGAGATTCGAACCCAGGACCTTTACTACATAAACTGATCAGCAAAAATAAAAGTGGATTAGATTGTACAAAATTTGTTATTTCCAAATTACTCTGAAATTGATGTCAGAGATGGCGCATAACCATTTTTAGCTACCATCATCACTGGTATTGAAAATAAATGCTTTTTTAGTAATTCCATCCTTCACTTTACTGTCCACATTCAAAGAGCAATAAGTAAAATGAAGATGAAGTTAATCTGCGAAATGTAATGTATTTGCCTAATATACCTGGAAAACCTAATCACACTCTTAAAGACATTTATTAAAAATCACATTTCAATTATTACTTGTATTCATTTGACCTTCTTTAATTTTCGTACAGTCAGTCAGTCAGTCACAACGTAGAACTTCGTACGTACGTACATCAGTTCGAGTTGCCATACCACATTAGCACAGAGATGCAGTTGTCGATTCAAATCCCATAGTGGTAGAAGTAGTAGGAGTATAATCAGAAATCCAAAAGATTAGGGTTTGAAGAAATTATTGAAGGAGTATAGTACAGTGAAATAAATTTGGAAAGAGAAAAAGATAAAGACATGAGGAATTCAGAAGATTAGAATTTGGTAGAACACAAAGAGTGGATGCATCTTCGCCATTGCAAACGATTTTGAGCCATGTCATTCAAGGTCTCTAACCATCGGTTGCTATCATCTCGCGAATCCCAACCAGGTAGTCTACACCTACCAACATGGCCCAGTCCACTTGTCAGTGACTTCATTGATTTGTGCCACGTTTTGGTCTGGCCACCCCTAGATTTCTTCCAACCTACTCCTACACCATGAAACATTGCACGTCGGGGCAGTCGGTGGTCGGGCATACGTAACACATGCCCCAGCCATCTCAACTGATGAAGTTTCACTACTTCATCAATCGATTTGCCATTCCTACCTAGTACTCGTTTCTTAACAACTGCATTACTTACCCGGTGGTCCCAGGATATACGAGCAAGACACCTATGATCGAACACTAGTAGCCTACGAATATCCTCTACTCTTATTGGCCATGTTTCACTGCCATAAAGTAGGACGGAGCAAACTGCTGCACAGTAAACCCGTCCTTTGGTTGCTAGACGGATATCGCGCCTACGCCATAAATGACGCAAGTTGGCGAAAGCTAGACGAGCCTTCTGTATCCGTGCTGAGATTTCGTCACATACCAGACCACAAGGGCTGATGAGACTCCCAAGATAAGTGAAGTGGTCTACACGCTCAACTACTTCACTCCCTATCATTAGTTCAGGTGTCGCTGCAACCCAATCCTGAAGTAACATTTTGCACTTCGAGGGAGAAATTTTCGTACAAAAAGACCTTAACGGATATGTGATCAGATTATTCAAAATGTACTGAGTATTACCTTTCTTGGACTAACTTTTTACATCTATGGAAGGGATCCATTGTTCTACATTTAAAGAACAATTTAATGTTCAAGTGCCTGGTTGTCAAAACCCGAATACATATGGCAATGTTCAAACTTGGAACCTAAACTCTATAGCGCAAGTTAGTTAGTCATTATCACTTTAGAACCTGGTACGAGTATCCAATGACGTTAGTCATAATCCCTGAAATCACTATAGAAATAGGACATTGACAAAGTGAGAAGCATAAGATGGGAAATAATATTGAGTTAGTAGGACATGGGAAACAAAATTCAGAAGGAACAACTGAGACCGAAGAATGGAAGGTAATACATAATTCTTAAATCCTGACTTAGAGAAAAATAGGTAATGAACACGACTGCAAATGATTTTGTTACACAAATTGATTACGAGTTACTATGTAACCCGCCCGTTGCTTATACCTTGAAGTGGTGGATGGGCTTACCCATCGTGATGAACCAATCGAGCTATACTGGCTGGAACAATCGTTCCTCAAGGTCCTGCCATGCCAGATAGGTAGGTTGAAGAGCGGTAAGACTAAAAGCAGCAAACCCAAGGTCCGAAGGCGAAGTTGTACTGCCGACTGTACAGAGGTGTGACAGCAGTAAGGTGTTTCCTTCAGACAATCAGCATAACAGCGATGCTGCCTTCCCACAAGTAGGGGTGGGGTTAGAAAAGGTCGACCTTAAAAATGCACACCTCGCCTTATCCCACGAATTTCCATCTCCGGTTACTATGTAAACCCCAACCATTATCACTTAATGGTCTATTGCAATTTTGAATATCAACCATTGAAGAGTATTCGTTTCTTCGCTTGTTATATGTACCAAGTAGACAGGAATTCGGAAAACTGAAAACAACCAATGTTAATCATCACTGCCTGGCTTATCGAATTCTCAATCGGTACAAAAAACATCATATAAGAATAAACAAATTAGTCGTATAAAACCAAAACCATACAGACGTTCATTATATGTGAAAAAATTATAATTGAAATAGTCTCAGCGATTGAAATTTAAATAATTCCAACGTTTCGTCCAGCTAACTTGTTTGGACTTCTTCAGGGAAATAATCAAAATCAAAATCATCAAAGAAATATAGTGTTTTTACAATCATATCAAAATCTCTACTACTTTTTAATCCAATCATATTTGGATGTCGAAGTTTTTGTACAACAGGATAATATGAGTCAGTTGAATGAGAATCAAGTGAAAAGTTCAACGATGTGAATTAAAGGAGACTGAATGAATTGTGTGTGTGTGCGTATGTGTAAGATGAGTTATTAATGATGAATGATATTCAGTGTTGATATGTTTCTATGTGAAGTAAAATAGGAATAAACGTGCATAATGAAGGTTGAAAAGTTTTTCTCCTTTCTGAATCATCGAAGTTGCAAATAAAATGAGAATCATCAAGTACATAATTATACAATGTTAAACATAACTCATATTGATTTCAGTCATAATAACGATTCATGTGAAGTAAACAGGTTGAATAAAAGAAAAAGGTCAAATTACTTGTTGATGAATATTTATCATTGTTGAAAGCGTGAGTCAATTGAAGCTAGACCACCATGGAAAACCTGGAAACACTGGACGGCCGTTTCGTCCTATTATGGGACTCCTCAGCAGTGCGCATCCACGAACCTGCTCTCGCGAGCGAGATTCGAACCCAGGACCTACCAGTCTCGAGCCGAAGCCCTTAACCGATAGACCACTGAGCTGGCATCCAACGGTGTTAATGTCTAACTTCAACTGATCCACGAAGTTGAGCAACCATTCACCAATTGTCTTCAGTGAGTTCCTATCTCACAACAGACGTGGTTTTGAACTCCACTGGTCACTGCTTCTCACTAGAGCTCCTAGATATACTTCTCGAAATCACTAGTGAGCATATTATTATATTAATTATAGAAGGGGTTCGTGGATGCGCACTGCTGAGGAGTCCCATAATAGGACGAAACGGCCGTCCAGTGTTTCCAGGTTTTCCATGGTGGTCTAGCTTCAATTGACTCACGCTTTCAACAATGATAAATACTAAATCTCCACAAAACCCCTTCTATGATGAATATTTGCCAAGTGGTAGCTAGCTGAATACCATCCTTTCTGTTTAGGCTGTTCTTATTCGCCCATATATACAGCGCTTCTGCTGTCAATCTTTCTTTGTGAGTGTTGAAACCTTTCTGAAGTATTTTGGCCCCTTCAAAATTAATCATGTGTCCCGTTTCCAACGCATGTAACGCTATTGCAGACTTATTCTCAAGTTTCTGTAAGTCAACCGAGGTTTTGGGAACGTTTTTTAAACACTGTTTGTGTTCCTTCAACTTTACCTTCAATTGTCTGGATGTTTCTCCAATATAAGCCGCATTACAATTGATCTCATAGACAATATTTTGTTGTTCTTCCTTTGGTAACCTATCCTTAACCTTCACCAATGACGATCTTATAGTGTCACATGTTCTAAAATACACTCTTATATCATGTTTGTTTAAAGTCCGTTTGATTTCCTCCGATGTTTCGCTACGGTATGTTATGACTACAGTGGACTTCCAATCTTTCTGTACATGTTGCAGTTTAGCTTTTCTTTCCTTTCTAACAATCTTCTTTAAAAACTCTTTTGGGTAGTTGTTATCCCTAAGTGTAGCTAAAATCCTATTCAATTCAAATTGTTGGTCTTCTTCATCTGTAACAAGCTTCAGACTTCTGTTAATTAAATTTTTAACAACTGTGACTTTCGTACATAAAGCATGCGCCGAATCAAAATTTAAGTATCTATCTGAATGTGTTGATTTTTTGAAAACATTTATTTTCAACTTCCTATTATTAAGTCTTCGTTCAACCATACAGTCGAGAAATGCCAGTTTGTGGTCATCAGACTCTATTTCCTTCGTTAGATTAATTTGTTCCGAAATGTTGTTCACATTTGTAAACAATTCTTCCAAATAGTCCTGTTTAATGATAACAAAAATGTCATCTACATACAGACGTTAATTGACGGGTGTAACTCATGATCATTTTGACAGTACAATGATGACCTAGCTGAAGCACTTTGTAACTGCGATTGTTCAACCTCAGTTCCTAATGAACACCTGTACGTTAAGTGTTCCCAGTAATTTGATAATGAAACAACGGAGATTTTAAGTAGTTGATGGAAACACAATGAAGTGAGTTAAATTTATTTTGACTATTTCCTGTTTCATAAAAAAAAGTTGCTGTTAGCTTCGGTTATTTTGGCCCTTATATACTGGGGGTTCTTGGAATATAAAATGTCACTGCATCAGTATCCCAAGTGTAAAGGCTACCAAGTTTTTGATCCTTCAGTTGGTAAGAATAATATACTTAGCCCTGATAAGATGCGCGATTAAAATAATAATACCATTGTGTATAGAAAAATTTATTGATTTCTTTCAGAATTACGCAAAACATTGATTTATACTACAAACCAATCTACTAGTTCTTAGACAAATGAATAATATCACTTCCCGGCTGCCCACACCATGGAAGGGTATTTCTTGAGGGACCTGAAAAGGAAATTGGGTTAGAAGTGGTCTTAATGACCTGAGAGCGTGACCTCAGTGCCCAAGGGACAACTGCTTGAGGTCGGTCACACGACATTTTTGTGTTAGCTCCGTACTTGTTGGGACCTTACCGTCGGAGACGGATATCCGTGGGATAAGGTGAGATGTGGATTTTTAGGGTCGACCTTTTCTAACTGCACCCCTCCTTGTGGGAAGGCAGCATCGCTGTTATGCTGGTTGTCTGAAGGAAACACCTTACTGCTGTCACACCTCTGTACAGTCGGCAGTACAACTTCGCCTTCGGACCTTGGGTTTGCTGCTTTTAGTCTTACCGCTCTTCAACCTACCTATCTGGCATGGCAGGACCTTGAGGAACGATTGTTCCAGCCAGTATAGCTCGATTGGTTCATAACGATAGGCAAGCCCGACCACCACGTCAAGGTAGCAGCAACGGTCGGATGTACGTACGTACGAAGTTCTATGTTGTGAACGACTGATTGACTGGTACCTATTTGCCCCAAAGCATGCAAAACTATATCAGTAAAATAACACTGGGTTTTTAGTTTATTCATTAAACATGGTAATTAAAGTTTGAACGAAGTGAATATTAACTAGGTAAAGATTTATGGTACAAAAGCTAAAATTCTGAGACAATTGAATCGTGTACAATCGGTAACACTCAACTCATACATTTACATCAAAAAACAGGATAAACAAATAGACTTTATTGTGCAGCAGGTAAATTAAGGAGTGTATGTTGACCATCAGGGATATAGGTGATATTTCGATTTTTTGAAAGTTGGTAAGCAATATCTTCAGCAGCTTCGATTCGCCTCAATTCAATAAGACCTTCACCGGAAGATCCGAAAGATTTAGACAGTAATGTTGCCGCTTCTGAGTCACCTTCTGCAGATATAATGGCAGCCAGTTTATGTTGTTCAGCCTTTGTGAATCAAGAAAGAATAAAATATCTTGAGGAATTACAACATAACAACAAAACTACATTTAAATGACAATATGGAGAAGTAAATAATTTTATTTGGTAAGGATACAAATGCCACAAAAAGAAGCGCGGTTATCACAAAAACGTTATCTTTACTGACTATCGACAACAATCAGTAACAAGCTAATAGGTTGTATTGCGATAAAACTTATCCGTTATTTCAAATACTTAAGGACTGCGTACATGGTAAAATATCTGACTTTTAATCCGTCCAACCGTTAGATTGATTTGACCACCCAACCTGAAGTATAGTGCATATTATATTATCACGAAAGTAGCTTCCTTCTGGATTCATTTTAAGAGAGCTCACCAACTTGAACTGATGTATTGATGAGTAAAGTTTTAAATTGTTCGTATGAGCATGATAATTTAAAAAGAATATCTATTTCAGGGACTTCGTCAGCGTATAAAGAGATTGTACAAATGTGACTGATAATTGTCACTTTTAAAAGGACAGTCTGATAGAATTTGCTTCTAGTAGTAATTCATTAAGTGATGAATGTTATTACACTGCCCATCAACTACCTTTAGAGAATATTTTACCTTTTCTACTAAATATCGTGCACGTTCAGCTTCCTGTTGAGCAACTTGTTTGGCTTCTACTGCTTCTGAGAATTCTCGACCGAAAGAGATTTGTGTCTGTGAACAAATAACACACGAAGCATTATTAAACAATAATAATAATAACAAAAACATCTTACTCATATTTTATATTCTTAAACTAACGTTAGTTAATTAGCTTAACGCCCCCAAATGCCCTGGTACGGCCGAGAGTGGGGAGAGTTCGCTCTTTCTCTCGAAATGCTCTTATATGGCCACGCGTATATAGCCTCTGCCAGAGAAGTCCTACTCACTGCCTTCTCTCACACAGCCCTCTCACAAATAAATGGAATGATGAGTTGTCTAATAGATTTGTATAACCTCTGATCATTTGAATAAAGCATAATTTCTTGAAATTATCGTATTACACAGAACTAAAATGTATTCCCTGTACAGTAAAGCAGTTAGATAAATATAGCTATATGTTAGAAACAAATACAAAGTTTATTCGCACAGCTACTATTACTTATAACATTTCTGGGATTTTACGTTCCATGACTAATAATTCCAAAACGAAATAATAAGGTTTCTTCTATAGAAAACAAGATGGTTATTTCTTTAATTTTGACTCTAGTTGACTGACCGTCAAACTTGGGTTAAATCTCATCTATTCAACTGTTTAATCACTCGAGTTTTAAACAAAGGTTTTATAGGGGTCTGAACGCTACCTTAACTACCGTACTTTAAATTACCAGACAGGGTCATCAGATAACACGGTTTCCGTAACTAAACTACTGTAATATGGGATAAAACATGACTCCATACATCAAAACACTAGATCACTCGATAATTGAATCGGTAGGGCTAAACATTAGACTGGGCACTAGAACAATAAACTACTTAATAGATCATTTGATATACTCAACGTAATCACCACCTGATCAACGACTAAGAACCAGATATAGATGAGAATGAGACTTTATTAGCACATAATAAAAATAGGTCAACAAGTGGAACTAAAGTCAAAGTAATTTTACGGATAAAATAGTCTCTTATATTTAGCGTAGCTGGAGATGTTTGACAACTATATTAGCACAAAGAGAAAAATTTACCAAGACAAATCTCAGTGCAGTAAAAGTAGTAATAGTATAAGTGATAACTGTAAATATTAAGAAAAAACATAATCCCAGAATGAATTTGTGGACAAGTACAAGATAAGTTTTAAACTCACGATTATAGGGAAGATAAACAATGAATGAACTTACACTATTGAGATTTTGAGCTATTTCGCTGAACGTCTGCATCTATTGGTTAAAGTAATCACAGGGACCTCAATACAACATCTCGTAGCACGCTCTAGTCTAACTATTAATCTTCATGGAACAACGTCACGTTTTAGTTTGGCCGCCCCCATCTTCCTCCTAACCTACTCATATGCTAGCAAACATTGTACGTCGGAGTAGGTGGTGGTTGGGCATATTTAGCATGTCCCAACCATTTCAATCAATGAGGACCGTCTATCTCATAAACTGATCTTTACTTAACGTCCTTCGTCTAGCCTTAACATTACTCACTCGGTGATAGTGCCTCGAAAACATCAGCGATTTAATATTTATAACCAACAAATCTCGGTTCAGCAGTTAATCGATTCATGAGCTGATATGATATCTTGAATAATTGATCTATCATGGAAGTTTCATTACTTCAGATGAGTTTGGATGATGATGAGACTTGGCATCTGACTTGTCGAACTGTAACTCATGATGAACACGAAATTTCCGTTCATTAATCAAGGAGAGCAAACACTTTCCAACAGTCAGGTTTATATCATTTCACGTTTGTGAAGCTTGGCCTCTAAAAGTAGGAATCGCTAGGCTGAAAGTATCTAATAATAGATTTATTTGTTGTATTCCCCGGATGTGATGAAACCATTGAGTGAATAATGCAGAGTATGCGTGGGGCACTGGGTAAAAAACCAAGTCGTCGAATGAGATGGTTTGGACATACGTTAAGCATATCTAACCATCATCTACTCCAACGCGCAATGATGGCTGAAATAGTAGGCTGAAAAAATGTCATAAGCAGTGATATATCATAAAACCATGAAGTTATTGGTTGATAGCCTGAGCAAACTCAAGAAACATACAGGCTCTTAAGCTAGGGCCTGCTTAATACTCGTAATAGGTGACATGGGGTGGAATCCGTTGAAGTGGCACAGCTTCACCCACTCTTCCCTAAAAACCTAAAATTCTTTGACCTTATTTGTTTTTTTTCAATGGTATTTTTCATGCTTAGATCCTTACTGCATTTATTATTGTTTCCTGTACTTTGCTTTTCATCTTGTCAACTTCCTTTCTAGCTTTGCTGATGTGAGATGTGGCAAATGGGAATCATAAATATTCGTGACAGATATTTGATCGATGATGATGTATGGGTTTTGTAACAGCCATATTCTGGAAGTGTGGTAAAACTGTGACCAGTTTCAGACACGACATTGTTTAATCAGTAGAACATCTAACGGCAAGAAAAGTGATCCCTCAAATATCACTTGGACCCGTGTTATTTGAAACAATAAGGACAACCTGAGTAAATTATAAGAAAGTATGAAACCATAACGAGATGCAAGGTCAGAAAACGATAAATAGAAACCAAAGAAGTTATTTACTAAGTAAATACAATGACATTTACCAGGGCGATATCGTCTAACAATATACCGAACGATGAAGCTCGTTGGGTAAGATCTTCATTCACTCTCTGACTGACCAATTCTCGCTGAGTTATAAGCTCACTTGCATCAAATTGAGCAACCACTGCTTTGAGCACCTCAGTGGTAATGGAAGGAAGTACACGTTCCTCGTAGTCAAAACCTAGGTTCTGATAAATCTTTGGTAGAGTAGATGGCTCAGGGCGAAACAATATACGCAAGGTTATATTCACTGTTTGTAGATCTGCATCGGTAGTAAGAAAAACACAAATATGACCCATGGATGACGTTTAAATTAAAGTTATTAGAATTACTATTAATGAAGAAATCTATGCGACATGTTTATCACGTGTACTTTTCCCTGCAAACATAAAATCGGGGGTAATGCGACAGACCCAGTTGACGAAGCACTTTACTACCAATCATATCATGAAGTGTGGTGAGAATATCTGCTTGAGTTGAGGATGAAGTGTACTCTACACGAATGTTTCGTGGCCGAGAAAAGTTTATTGACTAGTTCTTATTCGCATGATTGGGTTCATTACAATTGAGTACAATTGAGACTATGCCTAATACCTTGATATCAGGTTCAACAATCTTATTAAAGTCATAATCTATAAGAAACATTCTTTTTGGTCTTACTGTCGGAAGATAAAAAAAAGCCGTGCAGTGACAAATAACTAATTTCTCAGTATACTTGATAAGCTTGTACTATTTCTTGTACGTGGTCTGAAATTTACAAACTGCGATACATAAATCAGGTTCAAACTAGCAACCTGCTCTTCCAAAGTCATATATTTAGACCCACAAGTTGCAGTTTGTGGTAAATCCAAAGCGACAATTCGAATTCAGTCCCTTCACACTTCAAAGGAAAATGAACACTGGAGATATTGACATGAGGATAAAGACAGAATGGACTGAATCCTGTAAGTAAAGAATGAGTTACAATGACAAAGTGTATTCTTTAACACTTCGATTCATTTTTAGTCTTTTTTCTTCAAACTAAATATTCTCTTTAGCTTTCCATTAGTTTTGACTTTTTCTCATTTGATTACGTTTCCCTAGTTGTTTTGCAGTGTGGTAACTCGGCTAGGTGAACATCTATGTGCTACAATGGGTATGCCCGACCGTTGTTGTTACCTTGAAGTGGTGGTCGGGCTTGCCTACCATAATCAACCAAACGAGCTGAATGGAACAATCGTTCCTCAAGGTCCTATCATCCCAGATAGGTCGGTTGAAGAGCGGTAAGACTAAAAGCAGCAAACCCGAGGTCAGAAGGCGAAGTCGTACTGCTGACTGTACAGAGGTGTGATAGCAGTAAGGTGTTTTCTTCAGACAACCAACATAACAGCGATGCCGCCTTGCCACAAGGAGGGGTGCAGTTAGAAAAGGTCAACCCTAAAAATCCACATCTTGCCTTATCTCACGGATTCTCATCTCCGGCGGTAAGGTCCCAACAAGTATGGAACACGAAAATTACTCACAAAAATGTCGTGTGTGACCGACCTCAAACAATTGTCTCTTAGGCACTGAGGTCACGCTCTCAGGTCACTAAGACCACTTCCAATTCAATTTCTTTTTCAGGTACCTCCAGAAGAACCTATCCATGGTGTGGGCAAGCGGGAAGTGAAAACCGCCCTCATGCCTCTAACAGCAGTCAAGATCATTGTATTCATAATCAATCTCCTCTTCAATTTCTATTATTCCTCCTACCTCGACTTTCAACTCTAAATTTTCTACTCAAGTGACACCATAGCCAACGATTCTAGTGTTTTTATTTATTTCAGCACATAAATACAGGTACAAGGAAGCACCAGATATATATGCGCCACACAAATCTCATTTAATTCGTGTGAGGCCTGTGATTGTGTATTTCTGACGTTTTGTGGCTTAATGTGAACCATTTCTTTAGAGAAAATGAATAACCGAATTAAATTGATACAAGTTTAAATGGTACAAATGAATGAAATGATGAACTCAATTGACGATACTATTCCTGCTCACATTAGAAGCAAGACAATTTACATTATTATTATTACCTTTATTATTATTGTCATTATTATTATTATTATTATTATTATTATTATTATTATTATTATTATTATTATTATTACTTACCATATCGCTAATTCACCCCCTTTTATCCCCAATTTGTGTAACCTTACTTTTCAACTTATGCAGCAGCTCGCTCTTGGTGGAAAATCTATCCTATCTAAACGATCTCCAGTCACTGTCTGATTGAAAGTGAATGCTTCCACCGATAATGAATACTGAAGCAGTCTTTCTGAAACCACGTACGCCGTTCAAGCTGGCTTCCTTCAACGTTCGCACACTAATGCATATCAGACAACAGATAGGGCTGGCTATGTCTTTGGAAGGTCTTAATGTTGATGTTTGTTGTCTATCCGAGACCCGTATTCAAGACTCTAGTGAAGTACTACAAATCCGCTCTCCATCTGTCGCCTCGAAAAGCTTGTTCCACGTGCGCTTATCCGGGGACCCTGTGGCATCCTCGTCTGGTCTTGCTGGCGTTGGTGTCGCACTAAGCGCTAGGGCTGAGGCAGCACTAATCGATTGGATCCCCATTAACAGTCGGTTATGTGCTGTTAGATTAGAAAGTTCCATCAAAGTGAGAAGAAATCGGCGTGAGAAACGGTGTCTTTTCGTCATCTCCGCCTATGCCCCGACAGATTGCAGCCCGGATGCAATCAAGGACCAGTTTTACCATCAGTTAACAGTTCTCCAGAAAGCGCGTTCGACAGATATTGTAGTATTAGCCGGAGACTTGAATGCACAGGTCGGGCGTCTAGGCACAGAAGAGAGTCGTCTAGGTGGCCGATGGGGACTTGTTGGTCGCAGGACAGATAACGGGGACCGTTTGCTGCAACTGTGCACAGACCACAACCTGTCTCTGGCCAGCACTAACTTCCGGCACAGTCATCGCCGGTGTGCCACCTGGCGTCCTCCCTCTGCATCTCAAGCCTGGACTCAGATTGATCACATCGCGATCAGCTACCGCTGGCGTGGTTGTGTACAAGACTGCCGCTCCTTTTGGAGTACCTATCTGGAGTCTGATCATGCCCTGGTCTGCGCCAATCTCACCTTACTTTTCAGTGGCCGAAGGATTGACCACCACCAACGGATTGATATTAGTAAACTGGCTGCAACTTCTGTTGCAAGTAAGTATCGAGCGGAGCTAGCCTCTAGGCTAGCTACCACCCCACCGAAAAGTATAGATGAACATTGGTTGCATCTTCACGACGCCATGAAAATGGCGAGTAAAGCCGCTTGCGGCTTCGCGAAACGTCCCGCTTACAAGCACTGGGTTTCTTCTGGCTCCTTACAACTGATGGAAGCCCGTCGGTCTACTCCGGGTGACCGTGAGTTTGACCACAAACGAAGGCTGTTACGTAATGAAATCGGGCAAAGCTTGCGTAAGGACCGGGAAACCTGGTGGTCGGAGCGTGCTAATGAGATGGAAGCAGCAGCTGCATCTGGTAACTGCCGGAAGCTCTTCCAACTCATCCGAGCCACTGGCAGCAAGAAGTCTGGTGTGAGTGAAACAATCTACGAGAATGATGGGATGCCAATCACTAACATCTGTCGACGTCTTGGACGATGGGCGGAATTTTTCGAAGGGTAGTTCAACTGGCCTGCTGCTCCGGCAACATCAACCAGTTTGTTCTGCCCCCCACGGCCGGTGACGACTGATCCACCAAACGAGGCGGAAGTCCGCAAGGAACTCCAACTCTTGAAACGTTACAAATCACCGGGCCCAGATGACTTACCTCCGGCTCTTTTTAAAGATGGTGGTGACTTTCTGACTAAGGAATTGACTGTGTTGTTTGGAAAGGTTTGGGAGCAAGAAAGTGTTCCAACATCTTGGAATGAGTCGATAGTCGTCCCTATCTTTAAAAAGGGTTCACGTTGTTCCTGCAATAACTATCGGGGGATAAGTCTACTTTCGATTGCGTCCAAACTATTGGCTTCTATCATTCTTCGTAGGTTGTTTAAAACCCGAGAACGATTGACTCGCGAGGAGCAGGCTGGTTTTCGTTCTGGTCGAGGATGCATTGATCACATCTTCACCCTCCGCCAAGTGTTAGAACGCCGTCATACTTATCGCAGGCCAACAATCGTAGTGTTTCTTGATATCAGGGCGGCCTTCGATTCGTTGGACAGGACTGTTCTCTGGGATTGTCTATTGAAGAAGGGTGTGCCTGAGAAGTTCATTAACATCTTAAAGGCCCTGTACACGAACACCTCAGGCAGAGTGAGGGCATACAACCACCTTTCTCCCTTGTTCCATTCGAGCAGTGGGGTTAGGCAGGGTTGCCCGATCTCACCATTCCTCTTCAACTTTGCCATCGACGACATTCTGGAAACAGTTCTGGTGGATGTAAGTAATGGCGGTGTGGATATGTTGCCTGGAGAACGACTTCTCGACCTTGAGTATGCGGATGATATTGTCTTACTGTGCGATAATGCCAAAGGCATGCAATCAGCACTTAATCAGTTGGCAATCAATGTCCGCAGGTACGCCATGTGCTTTGCACCCTCCAAGTGCAAAGTACTTCTACAAGACTGGCAGGATTCTAATCCTGTACTCACCCTGGATGGTGAGCAGATCGAAGTAGTTGAGAAGTTCGTGTATCTTGGTAGCTATATAAGTGCTGGTGGCGGCGTGAGTGATGAGATTGATGCACGTATAATGAAAGCCAGAGCGGCTTATGCCAATCTGGGCCATCTTTGGCGCCTTCGTGATGTTAGTCTGGCTGTAAAAGGTCGGATCTACAACGCGTCGGTGAGAGCAGTCTTGCTCTATGCTTGTGAAACCTGGCCTCTCCGAGTTGAGGATGTTAGACGTCTCTCTGTGTTTGATAATCGTTGTCTCCGAAGGATTGCTGACATCCAGTGGCAACACCATGTTAGTAATGCAGAGGTTCGGCATCGTGTGTTCGGGCGCAGAGACGATAATTCAATTGGTGTCACCATCTTGAAACACCGACTTCGTTGGCTTGGACATGTTTTACGAATGTCGTCCCAGAGACTTCCACGTCGTGCATTATTTGCCGACCCTGGGACTGGTTGGAGAAAGCGGAGAGGAGGTCAGTGTATGACATGGTGTCGTGGCATGAAAGAAAGCTGCAAAGGGCTAGCTTCCGTTGGTCCTTCACGGCTCCCTGGTTGGGCTCCGAGAGATGGTGCAACACAGTGGCTAGAGACGTTATCAGATATGGCTCAGAATAGAAGCCAGTGGCGATCCTGCTGCAACCTTCTTTTACTTTCTACATAAAGAGTGGTTCTAACTTTCTTAACTGAGTCTTCTGGTTGTATATTTCAGTCCGCCCTATCTTTTCATCCCTTCTCTTCCTACTTTCATTATTTTGTATGGCGCATATGTATCTGGTGCCCTTTTGTACCAATATATATGTGTTTAAATAAATAAAATAAATACAAAAGAAACTTGTGTAAATTTGATCGGATCATTTCCTCTGAAGTGACTTACATTAAACCACGGAACGTCAGAAATGCAATTGTTCTATTCATTGAGATATAACAAAAAATACACCTATTGCTAACTTCCTACCTAATGCCAAATTTATTTGAAACCTTGGCACTGATACCTACTTAGTTACTTTCTTTGTGGCTGACAAAATATAAACAGTGGTTAGGGCAGTTACCTTCACTTCATAAGGAATCGCTTCGTGATGTACGATACTTATCAGAAGAGCTAGTAGGAACAAGTAACATGTACATCTACTGTCTGCCATAAAGGTTGATGTTGGCTGGTATAAGAGCAGATTGTTTGAAGGCTGGAAGCCAAATCAGCATGTGGCTTTAATTCACTAAGTCAGTGACCTGGATTTCCGAAATTATGTCAGACTTTCTGTAACTAGGTATACATCTGGGATCTAAAGTGATCTGTTTTTGAAACGTTAGCATGTACGATACTCACTAATCTCAAAGCAACGCCAGTGTATTGCTTCCTAAGCACTAGTTTGTATCTGACGATGAATTTCCTGTACTAAGCGAGAATTAAAATTACCATCAAAAGTGATAGCCAATCTATTGCCTAAATACATAAAGAAGATTAAGGATTTATGACCAATGACATTAGACCGAGAAATAAACAAGCATAGAGGAAAAACGTATTAGCCGTAGTTGCCATGGGAAGGAATGTCCCCTAAACATATAAAATGTAAGAAATAATCGACTGGAACTGAGAGAAAAGCTCTTTCAGATGCAAAATCACCTGAATACAAAGCCATTCACAACAAAACTTTCTTACTTCATATACACTTTGCCAATGATCCATTCCAACACTACTACTAACCTTTTGAACCAGTCATCACAGGCACATTTCTCGGTCGCGATCGAATATCAAAAATAATAGGCTTTTGAACCCATGGAATAATAAAGTGTGTTCCTTCCCCTCTTACATCGGACCTAACACCTTTAAATCGGTCAAATATTACGGCACGGTGCCCACCATCAACTAAAAGTGATATGTTTCGAAAGTTTTTATTACCATTGTAAAGAACAAGTGGAAATATACTGCTTGCAGCCAACAAGCCAACACCGGCTTTTGTCAAACCGCGGAACAAGGACGCTGACATAATATTGTGATAACGAGAAGTGGGTAGCAACCAAGTTCAACTTCAGCCCCAATAACTTCAAGAATCAAATGTGATGTGGAAATAACCATCTATTCCACGATGTTCAATAAGTGATCAGTTTCAAGCATTTCGGGACATTTATCATTAATTTGGTGGGTTGAAACATCATATAGGAGAGATATTTTCATTTTCAATACGTAAGGTATGGAAGCATAGCACGGGGCCTTTACAGGGAAACAGTAACTGGTAGCGGAATAACAATAGATATATATTATAAATCTTCCAAAGGTGGAAGAAATAGAAAAAGCCTACGCTCAATAGAACACTTTGTCTAGTGACAGTGGGTCGACAATGTCTCCAGTTAGGAACCTGGGTATCTTTAACGACGGAAAGGGGAAATTATGCATGTCCCAATAAAACTCTGCTTCTGGTGAGTTTCAAGTATCCCATACTGATTCAGTTATTAATGCAATCAATGAATTTAATTTTGATGGCGTAGCAGGTGTTACTTTTGACTCTTGGTTTAAAAAGTATGAAGGTTTGTTTCGTACTGATATCTGCAGACTGGATGACGCTTCAAAAGTCAGAATACTTCTAAGAAAACTTGGGACAACAGAACATGAACGCTATAGTGACTTTATTCTTCCGAAGAACCCATGAGACTTTTGTTTTGATGAAACAATTAAAACCCTGTCTCAAATCTTTGGAGAAAAGTCATCTCTATTTAATATCCGTTACCAGTGCTTGAAGATAACGAAAGAACCAGGAGATGACTAGGTGAAACATGTAGAAATTGTGAACCGAGAATGTGAGAGGTTCAAATTGTCTTCCATGACTGAAGACCAGTTTAAATGTCTAGTATTTGTCTGCAGTCTGCGTTCACCCGAGCATGATGACATCCGAACGAGAATCCTAAGCAAGCTTGAACATTGTCCTAACATGACCCTGCAGGAAGTAACTACTGAATGCCAAAGGTTAGTGAATTTTAAGCATGATAACTTGATGGTAGAAAATTCTAACCAGTTTCTCCACGTCAATGCTGTCGAGAGAAAAGTCTTACAATGTTCCAGAACGCAGAATTATCGTAATGACAGCGGCAAACCATCATCCCCATGCTGGTTATGTGGCAGTTGGCATTTCAAAAGGTTTTGTCCGTTTAAGTCATCGTTGTACTACTTGTTCCAGAAAAGGACACAAAGAATGTCATTACAAAACCCAGAAATGCCGTCAACCTAAAGTGTATTCTAAAAGATTCAAGCCGCGTGCAGCCAATGTGATGGTAGCTGCTAACAGAACCGGCTCCCATAATCGTAGAAAGTATGTTTCCATCAAGATTAATGGGTATGATGCCCGCTTACAGCTAGACACAGCCTCCGATATAACGTTTATGAGCAGGAAAACGTGGGAGAAAATTGGGAGACCGAGAATATATTCAACTCATCAATCAGCACATAGCGCATCCGGGGGAATTCTAAACATTGCTGGTGAAATTCATTATGAAGTCACAGTCAAAGAGTTTACGGAGAACGGAGTATTATTTTTGACAGAACGTCCATCACTCGACTTATTGGGGCTTGATTGGGTAGAAAGTTTGAAAATATCAGACCATCCCATAAACTCGATCTGTAACAATGTCAGTATGTCGAAAGTTGTGGATCCAACATTGTATCGTGGGGGAGGATAAAGTCAGCAAATGCAGTCTGGATACCAACCACGAATTTTCAAAAAAGGGAGAGGTGTTAAGGCAATCCTGAAATATTATTGCAATAGACAAGACAAGCTCAGGAAACATCAAAAGGCATTTTATCGAATCAGCGTTTGATTAGAAGTTTTGCTAGAAATATCGTGAAAATGAAAAGTCACATGCAGAGGTTCTGATTGGCTGATTAATACACTGCTACTATGTTTATTAGTATTCTAGAATTTTGAGGACAATCCAAAGACTTATAAAATATAAATAAAGACAGAACAAATATTGATGCAGAATAATATGAATTCATTATATTTCGTGGTTTCTCATCAGCTGCTTACAACCAAATATGCATTAAAGTTTTAGCATTGGGGTAATAAATAGAATGGAACGACTGACATAAGTGAATGTAAGGGATTGGAATAACAAAAGTCATCGATGATAACTATATATATATGGGCAAGGAAAGGTCAGAGATTATTAGGTATTAGAATAAAGGGTAGCGTAATAGTTGAGTGGAGTTCAGAGACAGATAAAATCAAAAATGTGATTATTTTGGAGGTAGTTGAAAACAATTAGGGTTACGTAATAATTGAATAATTTTTAGAAGTTGTTGAAAACAACTAGGGTGGGTTGCGTAATAATTGAATAAAATTTGGATAGTTCATATAATTAGGAGAGACAAATGAGCGGAAATGTGTGAGAGAAAGGGTGGTTTAAGAATTGGGTAAGGGGAGGGGAATATAATAAAAACTGAATATTAACCAAAATTGAACTAATAACAACAAAACTGAAACAAAAAAAACAAAAACAACAAAAAACGGATTACCAGAGTAGTAATAAGTTTATCACTGTCTCTTTTTAAATACATAGATGAATTCATATTATTCTGCATCAATATTTGTTCTGTCTTTATTTAAATTCATAAAAGGAACTAACTGCATGAAACTTTTAAAATACTATAAAAACCCAATATTTTCTGTATATAGATGAACCTTTGGAGTAAAGTGCTTCCCGCATATTTTCTGCCTTTCCTCTCGTGTTCAAGTCGCTGTGTAGTTCTAGCTTGAGGGTTACGAGACTAGCTTAGGATCCGAATATAGCGTTCAATCAACAAGTCTTATCAAATTATAGACAGCACTAAAGTATGTGAACCTATGATTTCAGTTCCCGATTTACATATCAACGCAAAACAAACATTGGGGGAGCTAAGTCTGAGAGGTGTAGAGGATGTGATCAAGAGACAAAATAAGGTGAATGGTAGTTTCAGAGTCACATCCAGGAAAAGAAAGATAAGAAAAGGAAATGCGACCTCTGCGATTGACGCCAAAGGGGAAACGGACTGCAGAAAAGAGACGGCTTTAGGAATTAAAATTCCACAGAGCATTAAGATGGACCTCGCTGATAGGTCAGTCATTTTTCACACGCTAACAGAATCTTCCGTAAAGGAATGGAAGGATAGATTCAAGCACGATGTCAGTCACATAAAATCTTTATAGAGCAAGCTACTCCCAGAAACAGTTTCAGGAGTTAGCATCTGTAAGCTTACTTACTTACGCCCGTTACTCCCAATGGAGCATAGGCCACCGACTGGCATTCTTCAACCCACCCTGTCCTCGGCCTTCCCTTATAGTTCTATCCGACTTTTGTTCATTCTTCTCAGATCCGCCTCCGTTTCTCTACGTACTGTGTTCTTCCACGTGAGGGCTTGCCTTGTGACGCAATTGAGTGATTTCCTCATCGTGTGACCTGTCCACTTTCACGGTTTCTTCCTGATTTCTTCTCCCACTGGATGGAACCTGGTTTGTTCTCTTTCACAGTAGGTTGTTGCTGATAGTGTCTGACCAAAGGATCCGAAGTATCTTGCATAGACAACTGTTATTAAACACTTGTATCTTCTGGATGATGGCTTTTGTAGTTCTCCACGTCTCCGCCCCATACAGTAGAACTGTCTTGACATTTGTATTGAAAATTCTAACCTTTGTGTTGGTTGACAATCGTTTTGAGTTCCAGATGTTCTTCAGTTGTAAATATGCTGCTCTTGCTTTGCCGATCCGCACATTCACATCTGCATCATATCCACCGTGTCCATCAATGATGCTGCCCATATATGTAAAGGTTTTCTCATCCTCCAAAGCTTCTCTGTCAAGTGAATGAAGGTAGCCTAATTCTATTTTTATGCATCATTTTCTATACATCACTGAATATACTACTTAATTACAGAGTTGTTTACATCGGAAAATGGTAGATTTTCATTATTAATTTGTAAGGTAGTTAGGAAATTAAATATTTTATGGTCTAAGTTACAGCTATACTGTATTTTTAATTTGATGTAGTTTTGTTTTCGCACCTAGTTAAGACAATAACACTATAATTCAGCAGTCCATACAATAAATCATTGAGATAACAGGGAAGATTTGTGACTCAGGATAATGATTTTGATAGAGTTCTATTCTTCAAGTCATGCAACAAAAGCTCCATCATAAACGCGAATTTTGAGTAAACCTACTACACACTAGGTTAAAATTTTGTTCGTTATCGGAATTGACCAGATAAATTGCTTTACCAACTAGGAACACCCAATAATTAAACTCAGTGTTGGTTGACAGTTGTTTTGAGTTCCAGATGTTCTTCAGTTTCAAATATGCTGCTCTTGCCTTGCCGATCCGCGTCTTCACGTCTGCATCAGATCTACCGTGTTCATCGATAATTCTGCCCAGATATGTAAAGGTTTCCACATCCTCCAAAGCTTCTCCGTCAAGTGTAATTTGATTGGTGCATATTGTATTGTATCGGAGAGTCTTTATTTTCCCTTTGTTTATATTGAGACCTACTGCTGCCGAGGCTGCTGCTACACTGGTCGTTTTCTCCTGCATTTGTTGTTGCGTTTGTGATAGAAGAACCAGATCATCTGCGAAGTCTAAATCGTCAAGCTGCATCCTGCCTGTCCACTGTATCCCGTGATTTCCTCCAGATGTTGACGTCTTCATGATCCAGTCGATGACCAGGAGAAAGAGAAAGGATGAGAGTAAGCAACCTTGCCTAACACCGGTATTTACTTGAAACGAGTCGGTGAGTTATCCTCCGTGGACGATTTGGCAGTTTAGTCCATCATAGAAGTTCCGTATGATATTGACTATCTTCTCAGGTACGTCGTTGTGTCGAAGAAGGCTCCATAGTGTTGTCTCATCCACGCCATCGAATGCTTTCTCGTAGTCAATGAAGTTGATGTATAGTGATGAATTCCATTCAATTGATTGTTCCACAATGATCCGCAGAGTTGCGATTCGGTCTGTACACGATCGATCCTTACGGAATCCAGCCTGTTGATCTCGAAGTTGGGTGTCTACGAAATCCTCCATTCTGTTTGACAATACTCTGTTGAAGACTTTTTCTGGTATTGAGAGGAGAGTAGTTTCTCTGTAGTTATCACACTTGCTGAGATCGCCTTTCTTTGGTATTTTGATCAGAAGTCCTTCTTTCCAGTCTGTTGGTACTCGTTCTTCATCCCAAATCCTACTGAACAAAATGTGG